TTTTGCAATTGAAGGACATGTTTTTTTTTTTTTTTTTAATTTCTGCGATATTTGTCAAGAACTGTAATTGTATTCTGAATTATTTTCTGAATTGTGCAACGTATCTCGACATACTTTTGCGTGTAACCTGCAATTTGTGCGAAATTTGCATGCAAAAGAGAGCGGAGTTTTTTTTTTACGAAGACATCTTTCCGACACGCTTTCCTTCGCGAAGAAGCAGAATTCTTCTCTTCCTTGCTTCCGTATGCGTGCGTTGTTCGCGACGGAGGGGGGTGGGTGGTGTTAGCTCGTCAAAGACGACGGGCAATAGGAAAGATGGGGGAGAGAAGCCTGCGTCTTCTTCGGGTAAGCGAAAGGGAAGGTCGAGGGTTAGGCGGGAAAATCGGAGGGGTGTTTGAAAGATCGGGGTGTGTAGAGAGTCCCTTTCGCTCTGCGGTTTTATGGGTCGTCCAGCTCTATCACGCGCCGTAAAAGTACAATAAAACCGCTGTTACACCGCGGAAAAAAACTATCCGTTCTAAACCACTGCGTGCAACGAGTCCTTAAGACGAGAAGAGAATTCGGAGAGATGTGCTTGCGCGGGCGGCCGAAGAAAAATTGATTCTTTTATGATCGACAAACGCGCGACTCTTAAGACCGAGGTCGCTAGCGTCTTCCTTGATTTTCACGTGGACGTGCGTCCACGTGGCGTCTTCTTCTCGAGTTTTCTCGCGCCAAAAATCAATTCTTAAATAATTAAATTGTGACAACACGCGAGTGGCTGAAAGCTATACTTATACGAAAAATCAATCTCTTATCTTGAAATCTTTGCAACAACACTTAAATATAGTATATTTTGCAACAGAGCAAACGTTCTCTCGCGGGGTGTGCGGTAACTTTTTATTTTAATTAATGTGACATTCTCTCGTTCTGTTTTTCAGTATTATCTCTGAGAAACACGCAAGAAGAAGAGCCGCCGGATCCACAGTTGATGCGACTGGATAATATGCTGATAGCGGAAGGCGTCGCCGGACCGGAGAAAGGTGGCGGAGCGGGAGCAGCCGCTTCAGCATCCGCAGCGGCAGCGGCGGGTCCACCCGGACAACCGGACAACGCAATCGAACACTCGGACTACAGAGCCAAACTCGCCCAGATTAGGCAAATTTATCACCAAGAACTAGAAAAATACGAGCAGGTTAGTACGAAATCTCAATTGGAGAATTACACACGCGTGACACTTTTCGGTTTTTTACCAATTTTAGCAACATTGGTTTTTATTTTGTTGTCAATTGTAAATCAACATTACAGTGTCGCGCACTTGACAGAACGTAAATATTCTAGAAAAAGGTTTTGCAATTGAAGGACATGTTTTTTTTTTTTTTTTAATTACCTAAGAGTGTCTATAAAAATAACAATGCGATATGATCAGGCAACTTGCAAAGTTGTTCGTCTTATTTATTTAAGGAGAGCAGCTTGTTACTTTGTTTTTTTTTTTCTTACGTCGTTACAATAAACATGCTGTTATCCTCGGTTCGGCCGCGGCCAAACCTATATACTCGATCAGCTCTCATAAATATGCGGCAAACGCAAACCGGCCCGGGAGCGACCCATTAAACCAAACGGGTTAAGTTTAACTCTCGTATTGATTTTCGCAGCGCGCGCGGCGCCGCAGTCAAACATTTTTACGTTTGCGCGCGCGACGTCGCAAAATCCCCTTCTACTCTCTATCTCCCAATGAAAATTATTCATTCCGAAGGAGAGAGAGCAAGCACGCTCGCTTTATGCAAATGCCGTTTATGAATATTATTCGCCGCGAGCGTGCGAGAGAGCCGCGCCGTATTATCGGCGTGGTATCGGATATTGAATTCGAGTCGCGGAATTACATCGCCCGGTCGTTTTATCGTCATCCGAGCTTTTCGTGCCACGCAACACAGACAACGAGAGAAAGAAAGAGAGAGAGAGAGCGAGAGAGAGAGAGAGAGAGAGAGAGAGAACGCGTAAAAGAAGAAGAACGGTGAAATGAACTCGTGGCGCATAAACGAGCATCGTTACTCACCCTCGGTCGGGAAAACTCTCGGCGAAATGAAAAATTTCACGCGCAGTCTCGCGGTTATCGTCGAGATCCGGCGGGCTGACAAATTTCGGCCATCCCGACGCACTATCAGCCGGCTCGATTCTACCATCGATAATCTCTCCGCTCGTGAAATTCAACGACGTCGACGCGAATTTATCGTTCTCGACGATCTCGCGGTCTCGTTAAGGTGCGTTTATAGCGTGCGAGCGTTCGGAAGCATTGGGAAAAGTGAGAAACAACACACACGCGGATTCTTTCTCTCTCTCTCTCTCTCTCTCTCTCTCTCTCTCTCTCTCTTCTCTTTCACTCTCACGTCAATTTATTAATGCGATTGTCGACCGAGCGAGTGAATCGGTACGATAAAGCGCTATAATGAAACATTCACGCGACAACGTCGTAACACGCGGGTATTAGATGACGTAATTCTCATTAATAATGCATCACTAAATCATTACATACTAATACTCGCTGTAATTTCGAGCCATTTCTGCGGTATATAATTTTGCCATCTTATTTTTCCCAATGAATATTAAACGACGCCTGAGATTCCCGTGTAATAGCGAAACAAGGTTCTTTGGCACGAGCGTTTAACGCCGAACTAATTTGCAATCTTTAAGCGAGCGGTGCGTTTTTCGCGATCGGCGTGCGTGAAAACGAACCGCGATCGCGAAACCGAAGCACAGGTTGTTAACGCGCGGGACTTGCGCGACGGTCGCGCCGTTTTTTTTTTTTTTTTTTCTGCGACACGGCCGATTCATGTGCTAATGAACCGCCCCCGCGTGTACTTGTGTGTTAAGTAAAATCTCGCGTGCCGGACGCGGGCCGGTCTCCCTCCCCCTTTCTACGTCGCGTGATCTACAGTTTCTTTCGGAACGACGCGAATCAGCGGACACTTTGCCCCGCGCGCGCGCGTTCGCCGATGCGGAAATTCGACGATGTTATCGCGGATCGTTTCATTAAGAATTTTTTTTCTCTCCCGCTCGTTTCGTTTTTTTAAAGAAACTCGCGGGCCTCTCTCTCTCCTCGCGATTCGGCTCGCCGCGCGACAGCTCAATCCGGGGGTGGACAATTTTGAAGCCGGAATAAGGAACAAACACTCTTCTTCGGTGAAACAAATACCGATAAAGAAACTTTTTTTTTCTTAAGTGCTTTGTGTTTTTTTACGACGTTTTTTACCGTCTGAAATGTCGTGGATATTTCGCGTTGTTGTACAATATTACGAATTAACGTGCACGATTTGCATAGTCGCTTAATTTTTTAACGTCGCGATGTAAAATCGCGCGACGATTACAAAATCGCGCGACGATTACAAAATCGCGGCGGATTCGCACGTATGCGCCTCGCGGGTATTTGCATTCTCTTTTCGCCACGTGACAGATTACCGGTCATTCCGCTTGACGTGTACGCTTGGCGCGTCTCGCTCACCCGCAAAGGACCTGACATTCGCATGACGTCGCGCGTAATCGACCGTTCTTACTGTAAATAGGAGCCGCTCATCGGCTCAGCGCGCATAATTCTTTTTAACGCCGCTCGCGTTTTCGCTGGCGGTTTTTCCCTTTTCGCGTACACACACTTTACTCTCTTGCTCTGATATGTATATATACATATATATATATATATATATATATACATATATACATCGTTTTCCCTCTTTGCGCGCGTATATATATATATATATGAGTGTGTGTACACGCGCGCGCACTGTGTGGGCCGTGTGCTTTAATTGCCACACCCGTTTCGACCCCATATTTCACCGTGTGTCAGCGGGCTTGATGTTTCCCTGCGGTAAACACGCACAGTCCGAGGTCCACTGGCGCATTCATCAGGGCCGAATTAAAAGGGCGCGCTAATTTTTGTGCAGAATTATTTTAATTTAAACGCAAGTTTGCGCGTACTGGATGTACTCGCGTACACTCGTGTTGTTTTCAAAGTTCTTACCAGCAGTTGCGCGCTTCACTATTTACCGCGCTGATTGCGGTTATCCACCACGTTGCGCAGTTCGCATAAAATGTGCGTTAACGCGACCGTGCGAAATCATACACGTATCTTCAAAAAAAATATAAATAATCGGGCCTTGTTGCGTCACGCTTGTATAAGCGAGAATCTCTCGAAAGTGATAATTCAAACGATCCTCTCGTGGAAACGTTTCTCCTCTTTACGTGAATCCGTCCCTGCGTTAATGCGTGCACGGCTCTCTTTGTAGCCGCAACAATATGCACGTCGAGCGCACCGAAAACACATGCGCTCGCGTGCACTTGCGATGCACAGCTCGTGCGTGCCGAGGGGAGGAGTGGTCCGTCGATAAACGCGGCCGTTAACGAGTTTTAAATCTTCCCTTTTTTACGCTCGAGAAATCTCGCTTCTTTTTTTTTTTTTTTTTTTTTTGAATTTTTTTTTTTTTTTTTTTTTTTTTATCGAAATTTCTTCGATCCGAAAGTATGTATGTACTTCAACCGCATCTATAAAGTTGCATAATTTTTTCGATTTGTTCTCGACGAATGCGCGTTAATAAAAAAATTACGACAGATGATGGCGCTTTTTGTGACATTCTTTTTTTTTTTTTTTTCTAATTTAAAAGGACACGAACAGCAAAAAAATGATGACGACGAAGCACACGATGTAACATTTCGTCGGATCCGAAAAGTTGGCGGTTTTAGTTAAACGGGCCGACACATTTGTCAGGGACTAGAAAGTTCGGTTATAAGCGAAATTTACTATTCAAATTCGGTCGACTTGGTGTATTAGGGTGAACGTCTGCCTGGCTATGCAACGTGGCGTGACAAGCACGAGAATAGAACCGCATCGGGTTTTACGAGATCGCGTGATCACCGCCAGCAAACATCGTCTCTATCATGAATTTCGTCGGTGCATGCACGCCTTTATTTTATCCGATTTCCAACTCTGATTCCGACCGTCGCGCGTACGTACGTACGTACGTACATTACGTACACCGCGCCGTACACAAGTATATCTCGTTATTGTATCTGAGAAAAAAGCAAACACGGGGAATGCATCTTCCGGTGTTTGTAAGCCGAGGCAGACGTTTTTTACGCGCGCATAAATATTTTCTTTTTACTGCCTCGGCCGTACACGACCTCCGTGGTATGATCCACCGTGAATCGTATTAAGCATGATTGCATATGCTCTGTGTATATAATATATATATATATATATATATATGTATATATGTATGTATATATACATATCTTTCTCTCTTATGTTTCCCTGAAAGTATTGCCGCAATTTGTGTAAAAGATCGTACCGACAGAGAACAACTTAGCAGTTTCAAAATAAAATCTTGCGTCTTGGAAATTATTACGACGAAGATTAAGGGAGAAAAAGATAGTGTGCCGCTTCTCTCTTCCGCGCGAGGAGAGAGAAGAAAACGCTCTCAGCATCCGTCGTAACGTTGCCTTCCACAGAGCGAATTTTCTCACGACGTTCTAATTCTGTGCTGCGACACGCTCTATTAATACTAGCCGCGTATTCGCGCGAGAATATACAGGCACATACTCGGTGGGGGAGAAGGGACTTCGTTATGGAAATTCCAACGTGTGCAATGCGCTAAATATACCGACGCGCGCGGTTGCGCGCGCTCGCCGCGGCTTGTTTCCGCGGTAAGCGAAACAACCCGGAGTGTCTCGATCGTTGCATAATCAAATTTTATATTTACAATTGATTTATTCCAGAGAGAAAGAGAGAGAGAGAGAGAGAAAGTGAGTGGAAGGTAGATTCTGGTTATTTCGTAAGGTTCTCGGTATCTCTCGAGTCTAGAATCTCTTAAAGAAGAGAAATGTTTGTAACAGAGCGGTCTAGAAATGTATACAAACTAGAAGCTATACGATAGAGTCTCGAGACGTGTGTTTTAAGTAATTAAAAATACAGAGGATTAATGTTGTCAGCTCGTATTGCACTTTATGCGATACTATATCTATGTCGGATGATCATCACCAGCCAGTGCCATCTGCTCCTGAGACTTTCAGAAATTAAAAGAAATCAGTCCGGGGAAAATGCGACTCGCTACGACTTTTCCATCCAATTCAGCAGCGTTTCTTTCGTTCCTTGCACCTTCTCTCTCTCTCTCTCTTTCTCTTTATCTTTTCGTTCTCTTCTTCTCTCTCTTTCTTGGTCACGTGCAACAACCGAACCGGGAACGGGGGTTGATCCACCCTGCGAGTCTTATGCGAAGAAAGGAACGAAGAGAGAAAGAGAAGCCACACGGGATGGATCGAAGGAGGACGGAGAAAGAGAGAGAGAGAAAGAGAGAGAAAGAGGGGAGAAGTCGCTGGCGGAGTGGAATCCATTTCGAAATTGCAAGCCACCCTGTTCGATCCTCTTCCTCCGCCCTCTCCTCACGTACTACACCGACACCCTCCCGTAGCTCCTTTTCCTCTGGCTCCTTCCCTCAGGAAAAGCCACTCCTCCTGCTCAGTTTCACCCCCTCGTCTCTCTCATCCCTTTCTCTCTCGCTCTCTCTCTTTCTTTCTCTCTCCCGTTCGGGCAGGCAGCGTGGCTCGCCTCGAATACTGATATCGAGCAAAGTCCTTTTTCCCTTAAACCGAGCAGCCACCAGGAATAATGCATTATACGTACGCGTCCTTCGTCTCTTGCTTCTTCTCTCGCTTTATCACTCGATTTTTTCTTTCACGCTCTGATCACGATACTTCGTATCTCGCTTGGTCTCTGACTTTCTCTCGGGGTTCTCTTTTTCTCGCACAGGCGAAATTCGCTGTGTGACCACGCAAAAATGTGTTTTGCGAAAACAATTCATATATTCCCGTCTGCTTGAATTGAATATTCAAGCTCTGACGCGTGTATCTTTTTTTTGAATGACAAATAATAGCTGAACGCTTTGCTCCGCTTTTTGTTTTCAGGCCTGCAACGAATTTACCACCCACGTGATGAACCTGTTGAGGGAACAGAGTCGCACCAGGCCAATCACGCCGAAGGAAATCGAAAGAATGGTCCAGATTATTCACAAGAAGTTCTCCAGCATTCAGATGCAGCTCAAACAGTCCACATGCGAAGCCGTGATGATCCTCAGGAGTCGATTCTTGGATGCCAGGTTTGTCTGTCGCAACGAGAATTGTATTATCGACGATAATATATGAAAGATTAAAATTAAAAAATTACATAAAAAATTAAAATATAAGGAAATCAAAAGCAATAAACATTAAAGTCAATAAACATTATCTATAAATAATGAAGTTTTAAATAATCAGCTCCAGAAATTCTTATTAAGACAGTTATATGGCTGTATGGAGCGGACACGGATGTCGATGTGTGTTGAGTTGAAAATTTAGTTTAATTTCGATAAACTGTACAGTACAAAGCTTTCGACCTTTGGTTTAGGTCTTTCTCAATGTAATACTACAAAAATGTTAACAATGATAAATAGTAGTAGCAATAAAAAGAAAATTGTAATAATAAGACTTAACAAAAAAACTTACATTATACTCGCAAAAAAAGAAGAAGAAATAGTGAACGGTCGTCGTTAGCGTTTAATTTCGGAGACTCTGTATATGGGTGATTCTCTGTGAACACGTAAATTTCAACTTTCAGTTTTGATAAAAAATAATTATTATTAACTAACGGATAGCGGTGAATTATGTTTTTTCATACCATTTTAAATCACCATTCGTAATATGAATACGTGACTATGCAATATAAAAAACTTATNTATGTTTTTTATGTCAATATACCACGGAGATTACAGTCCACGGAGATTACGTTTTTTGAGAATTACCCATATAAGGAAAAAACAAAGACATGGTTTGAATTTACATAGCGACACCGAAAGTCTTGATAGATCTCACCATTTGTCGATAATATATGTGTTTGAATGACGTCACATGATCGAATATTGTTTGCGTCGATTTTCGTTTTGAACCTCAGCCCTTTTCAGTCGCTTCTTTATATTGTAAAGTGACGGTCGAACCTGTGGTCTCACTATCTGACTGATAATCACCACCCAACGACGACCGTTCACTATTTCTTCTTCTTTTTTGCGAGTATAATGTAAGTTTTTTGTTAAGTCTTATTATTACAATTTTTTTTTATTGCGTACTATTTATCATTGTTAACATTTTTAGTAGTATTACATTGAGAAAGACCTAAACCAAAGGTCGAAAGCTTTTGTACTGTACAGTTTATCGAAATTAAACTAAATTTTCAACTCACACATCGACATCCGTGTCCGCTCCATACAGCCATACATATACCTGTCTTAATAAACATTATCTAATAAATTATCTAATAAACATTAGCTTGAATTGGATCTTGACTTATTCTCTATCTATTATAGTATTATCGACTTTTGAACTCAAAACATAACGCGCAAACTTTCAATTCGATCGCGAAGCGTGAGATTTTCTGTATTTTGTTTGTTTTTTTACTGAGAATCGGAAATTTATGTCCGATCAAAATCAACAATTAAAAAACCACAAACAACGTCCTCTTGTTGCAGGCGTAAGAGAAGGAATTTCAGCAAACAAGCGTCTGAAATTCTGAACGAGTACTTCTATTCTCACCTCAGTAATCCTTATCCGAGCGAGGAGGCCAAGGAGGAGCTCGCGCGAAAATGTGGAATTACTGTGAGCCAGGTATTTACGCGTCCATTACTTTTTCTCGTGCATATTAAACAGGAAGGAAAACTTTCGCAACTCACTTTGGTTCGGCGACTTTTAATTTCTCTGAAGTAATTAAAAAAAATGTTCACAACTTCCAAAAAAAAAAAAAAAAGAAAAACGTTACCCTGTTGCTTTGTGCGATTTAAATTGTATAATAAACGAGTGTGTGTTCGCAGACACGTTTGTTTTCTCCGACGAAGAGGCGCGGAAATTGTTGTTCGCGCGTGCGGTTGGAAACTTTTCGACAAAAAATCGAAAAAATGAACGGGCGTTTCTCATTTCGTGTGATTTTAGGTATCCAATTGGTTCGGCAATAAGAGGATACGCTACAAGAAAAACATCGGCAAAGCGCAGGAAGAAGCCAACTTGTACGCGGCCAAAAAGGCAGCAGGTAAGTTCCCAGCCATTGCTAATAAGCGGCGGGTGTTCCTCTGGCAAGCTTGATTTGTCGCGAGAACAATTTCATAAGAGATTTTTCGTCGAAAGCAATGCAGAGGATTGTGTAAAATAAATTTACGTACGTCTCTGATTAAAAAAAAAAAAAAGAAAAGAAAAGAAAAAAAAACAATAACATAGTGTTATCGTTACTAGAATGATCGGGAGTTCTGCACACGGTGACAGACGATTTTCTAAACAAAAGAAAAAAAAAATATCTTTCAAAGTGCTTTTGAAGTCGCTATGATTTTTTCTTGTTTTTTACTTCTCTCAGTGCTCTCTCGAGCTTATCGCTCTTTTGGTTGTTGCGTTTGATCGAGACTTTAAATCGAGAGGAAAATCGCAGTGAAGCGTGTGGAAATGTAAATTGTTATAAGAAAGCCGGCCGAATTTTGTTGAGACAAACAAAACGCTACGACGCTCGCTACGTTTCCGCTATTTGTCCTGCGCGTGTGAAACTTTTTTTTAGAATTTAAGATGGAAAGAGAATCTCATTACCGTAAATCATTGAGCGGTTGAGTTACTGCTCATTGTTCGGTGCGGCGGTGACATTGCCCTCTATTGCGGCTCTGTCGACGAATCGTCAAAGATAATAAATCTAACAATATTGATTACACTCCTTTGACACGTAGCGCGCACACGGACAATATCGTCGAGAATAAATCTTGAAAATCTGGACGTCTTAATTAAAGAAAACAATTATTTTCGAATTTAAATGATAACCGAAATATATAAGATCGTTCATCGATCTTTGTGCATCTGTGTGTGTGTATGTGTGTGTATGTGTATGTATGTATGTATGTATGTGGTTTTTTCTTATTCAAGGTTTTCAAAAAAGCTGCGAGAAGAGGACGTAGATGAGTTTGTACAAAATTTTCTTGTTACATTCTTCGAAACGAACTTGTCTCACGTGCTCGCTCGCTCGCTTGCTTGTTTCATCTCCCGCCTCCGGAAGAGACAATCCTCTCGCTACTCATGAAAATTTCAAGAAAAATTTTCCGGTTTCGTTCAGAAATTTGTGAGTCTCTCACCTTCCCGAGTCTCGCAATTACACGCGTTTCGCTTAACTACTGAGGCGTCTTACTTTATTTTGAACGCCGACGTGAGATATTTTTAACTCACCAATTATACAAGAAAGGCGGGAGAAGAAACGAGCGAAGAACACAAGCCAAAGAATAAAAGAGAGAGAGAGAGCGTGTGTGTGTGTGTGTGTGTGTGTGTGAGGAAGAGTGAGAAAGAGTAAGTGGGACGTGGGGCACGATGAGGATTCCGAGCTTCTCGCATTTCTTTCAGCACTCTCTGCGTTTGTCTTTCCTCGACCACGTACACCGTGAAAACGGACCGCGGTCCTCTCGTAATTAAAGAAACGGAATTCTAACGATCTCTCGCCGCCCAACCCCCCGTGTTGAGAAGACAACGCTTGTCTCGAATGGCGCGAGAGCTTTTACAAGCGTGGGATAGTCAGCTTTGTACAAGCTGGTACATTTGCGCAAATCTGCATATTAAGACAAAAAAAAAAAAAAAAAACAAAGGCTCAGATTTCCGAGAAAGAAATGTTGCTTCTAACCAAGACCGAAGACCTTTTATGCGTTCTCACACACATGTATCATAAAACGGTGACGAATTATCACGGTAGCTTATAACACGCGTAAATATCTGTTTTATTGTCGGTTTAATTAATAACATTCCGCGCGCACGTCACGATAACCGGAGGAAACATAAGCGCGCGAGGCACAGAGAGACAAATTATCGCTGTGGCTTAAAAAGAAACTTAAAAAGACGCACCCTCGAATTTTGTATGCACCGCGATTGTTTCTACAGCAGCTTTTGCAGGAGCATCGCCGTACAGCATGGGCGGTGCCAGCCAAGGCACACCGACGCCGATGATGTCGCCGGCGCCTCCTGGAGGACCGCAGGACATGGCTGGATACAGTATGGGAATAAACGGTAGCGATTACGGCTCGCAGCCGTATAACGACGGCTCAATGGGATACGATCCCATGCATCAGGTAAAATCGACATATCCTATTTCTTAGAAAAACACTTCCTTACTTATTGTGCAGCTTATATTTTTTTTTAGTTTCTAATGTTTGACCGGTTTGACATTAATTGCTTTTTATAGTATACGCTTACGCAATCACAAAGCATGAGTCCTTCTCAGGGTTATGAGTCTGTTGCAAAGAAGGCAAAAACAGAGAGCACTGTGGCTCGAAACTCGAGTTTCGAAAGCACCTCTTCTTCCGGAAATTCTCCAAACTTGTAGAGTGACATGTGTGTCAAAGAAGACGAAAAAAAAAAAAAAAAAAAACCTTGCGTATCGAAATATATACGATCACACGAACCTATTTGATGCGATTGACTTTTATTATTATTATTATTGTGTAACTTTGTTTTCTTTTTTTGTTTTACTACGTGTAAAAAAATACTTTGCTCTTGTAAAATATTTATGTCTCTGGGATTTTATCATACTAGTCTGATAAAATCTTCCATTTATTATCGAGTAATTACACTTTAATCAAGTGATTACACAGATTATTATTACAATTTATGCATAACACAATGACGTATTGGATCATTTATAATTACATAAAATATTATTATATAGATCACATAAACTCTTTTCTTTTGTATATAAGTGACTTCGTAAATCTGAAATTTGAAATCATTTATCTTTTTATGATTGAGAACATTTTACGCGGCGATTACGTCTATCAATAAAAAAATAAAAAAGAATGTTAAATTCCAGTAAGACCTGGAACTTTTTTTGAAAGAGAACAAAGAGTGTGTATATTAGTTTTTGGCTGTGAAAAATGATGATTTTTTTCATAACTATTCTTCTTTTCGAAGAATTGCACACTTAAGACTAGCATGTAAATCACAGATATTCATTCTTTTGTTGTTTCCAAACAATGAAAAAAAAAAAAAAAACAAAGATTCTAAATTTTTAATTATGATATTTTTATAATTTTTATTCATATGTACGTGTAAAATTTTCTTTCTTTAAAACATAAAATAAATAAAATTCAATAATAATAACAATGGTTCTATTTTATTTCTTTAATTATCTGAAACTCCTTAAATTTATTTGATATTCACTTTTGGAATATTATATATTTTCCGTCACTGTGTGTCAATCGCAAATAAAAATGTTTGTCCTTCAAAAATTTGCACGAGTACACCAAATTCTTTTATCGAAGAGTCTACGAGTTTCCTCAAACAAATCATTATTCTAAATAGTTTCAAGCCACGGCATTGCATCCCAATAAAAGCATGCGCATTTCATCTTCCGCATACTCACACTCACTACGAGAGAGAGAGAGGGAGAGAAAGAGAGAGAGAGAGAGAAAGAAAAGATGAGATACTGGTGAAGGAGTCTACGTGAGTTTCACGATGATGTGCCATATACAGGGATAATTTTGCGTAAAACGAGCTGTGCGCGCAAAAACATTTATGAAAAGCAATGTTTTTTGATATCAAAAATTATAATTTTTATTTCTCTCACGTATTTTTCATTTTATATATTTTTAAGAAAATTTCTAATTTTCTCTTGAATGTTTTTTTTTTAAACATTTTTCAATTTATTTCTCGACATTATTTTTGTAATTGTTTAATTTGTAAAGATGTTTGGCGCGTGCGATTGTATATATGTTTTTTTATTTGATTGAATAATCTCCACTTGTTTCAAAATTAATTTACCCGTTTAAAAACCGTGAGATAGATTTATACGCATAAAACGCTTTTTACCCTTTATATGCGCACGTTTGCGTGTGTTTGCGATCACAAAAGTGCATTCGACTCGAATTTATGTATGTGTGCGAGTGTGTATGTGCGCGCGCGTTACTGGAATATATACTAAGCTGAATACGCTGTTGCTGGCCCGTAAAGATGGTCTTGAGGGCGCCGACAGTCGCGTTGCGAAGGGTGTGTTGGATCGAGCGCAGGGGGTGCTAGGGAGTGCACAGATATATATATATATATATATATGTATATATATGTACATATATATATATATATATACATATCTATATATTCACACGACACACACGTATATAACACACAGTCACCCACACAGCCTAGCCAGCCAATAGCGCCAGGTTTGCTTAGTATGCATTGGAGTTGCTAAGTCACTTTTTAGGCAGGGCTGACTCTCTCACATATTAATAGAGCTAGGTGTGGATGCCGCGCTGCCGCTCTTTAACGAGTCGCTGGCATAGTCTCGCGACGCAGAACTCGGAGAATCCAACGACGAGAAAAAATTCGCAGCACTCCTCGGAGATGTCATAATCTCAAATAATAATTTTTCCGCGCGCGTGCGCAATCTGTCTTCGAACAAGAGAGAACAAAAGATATAATCTTTCCCGATTCTCGCCTCTTCGGACGCGCGTTTCACACGCTGTAAATAAGACCATTAGTTATTCCACTTCTTCTTTTTTTTCTCTTCTCTTCTTTCAGTTTTTATCACGCTCTTCTGTCGCTTCGTGAGAATTCTTATAAGTAAAGTCTGTATTCGCTCTTTTAATTTCCTGTGTTATACATTCTGGTGTTTTCGTCGCGCGTGTGCAGTTCGAATCGGTTACAATCGGTTTGATCGATAATAAGAATTTTTCGAATCTTTTTGTTTTTTTTTTTACGACCGAAGATATATCTCATGCGCCACCAATTACGCCGCACGCGCGCGCGCTAATTTCCGCTTTGACATCAGCTCGCACGCGAGAATACGCACACATACACACACACACACACGCACACATACGTCGCGCGTCTCTCTCATCGCGCTGTACTTCGCTGTTCTTCGAACGCAGTAAATCTCGCTGACGTACAATTTCAACGATGTCACGTGGCACGGAGTGACGTTAAATTAAATTTGCGGGTAAACACAGCAAACGATGGGGAGCATTCGGCATCAAGCCTTGGCAGAGAGATTCCTATAGGAATTTCTATTCGATGGATCTCCAATATCTGACATGTCGATACGCTGATCACTTGCCGAATGTTTCACTCCGACTGCGATTCCATTGCCGAATACAAAAAAAAAAAAAAAAGAAGAAAAAAATCGTTACTTTCATTCGACGGAAAACTGATTTAGTTTTGACTCGAGAACTCGTGCGAGATAAGAATTTAAATTGTCTTCAATATAATCCGAGATAATTGCGCGCGAGCGCGAGATCTTTTCTTCGTTTCTTTCTTTCTTTCTTTCGACGAAAAACGCGCTTCCGCGCTTTAGGAAATACTTGGAATTCGAATAAAACGCGAAATCACGGTTGAGACTACGCGGAATTAATTTCCCCAAGTCTTTCGGTTCGTCTCGGGGATCTCCCGAGAGCCGATTCCGCGAGGGTTGAAATGAAGCGACTAAAATGCATGCTCGTAGCTGCGCTCGTGTTCCGCAGTCACTTCCAGCTTTCTGTATGGTCCTCTTCTCCGCTTCTTTATCGATCCGAAAAATAAGGAGCTCGCCGTTTCTCCTGTATTTTCTCTGCCGGCGTTAAGTTCCATCAGTTTTATCGTTCGATCAGTGCTTCTTCAATTCCGATTCGAAGAGAAACAACAACAGTAACGGTATTTTGCGATTTACCGACGGAAATCTCACGTTCCACTTTCGCGAGCAAACTGCTACTTTTTCACGATAAACAAAAAAAAAACAAAAAGAAAACAATTTTGCGTGGTAATAACGCAGCCTTCCCTCTCGCAATCTAAATTCTTCAATTTATATCTTCACGAGGAACATAATCAAATAGCGAATCTGTGTAGTTTCTTATTAGAGAGAGAACCGTGTTTCTTCTCTCTCTCTCTCTCTCTCTCTCTCTCTCCCTCACCGATACGCGGTTTCTTGCCGAGGTTTATGTGGTCGTTAGGAATAAAAGTTGGCAAAACATTTACTTCCGATCTGTTCCAATCTAGAATGTTTGTGTGTTATATCTCGAGAAGGCAAACACACACACACACACACAATAAGTTTTACGTGCGTCAACAAACTCCCGCGTTTTCGACTTCGATTTTATCGCCAAACCTCGAAATCCTAGTTCAGCCTTCTCCGCCCTTATAAAGAGGCGGGGAGTTTCGCCGAAACATACATACGTCTCGTTGTTACAAAGGTTTACACCTTTGTAAATGTACGGTACTTTTCTTCGGTCTTCGCGCACACGTCGTGATCGTTAGCGAAATTTTTCAACGACGAGAATAAATCTCTTTTTTTTGACGCTGTAGCCTGGCACTAACGTTTTTTCCGCATACAGTAACCAATCGCTTTTTTAACACACTCTTTTTTACATGAGCACAAAAGAGCATATATCTCTCACATACCGGCCGATTGACTTTACATCTTAACATAATCTTTTGCACAGATCAAGTAACAAAATCCACTATATACATATTACCGTCATTATGCTATTCTCTTATCAGCGCTGCGTTTTGTCTCTTCGCGTCTTCCCTCTCCTTCTTTTTTAATCTCTCGTTCTCTAATCCGGCCTGGTTGGTTGCTACTTCAATTCTAACAAGAGCGACAGTAACGATAACAAAAAGAACGCGGGAAACTGTGTTTGTCGGCGAAGATCGGGACGTTCGTGACCGAGGAACGGCTCTTTCTCGCGATCGTCCTATATTTATATACGCGCGCGTTATACTTGCGAACGTAAGCGAAAATACTTAAGGAACGACGTCGTTCTTTTCTCGAAGAAGAAGAGCGCGTTGTGTCGCAAACACAGTTTCCGGCACGGTTTTCTACTTTGCTTACTTTGATTACTGTCGCGACCCAATCGGTCGTCTGTTGCGCCGTCTCTTCTACTCTCCATCACCTTTTGACGATCCGAGAAGCTGCGAAGTCGCGAAAACCAAAATTCGCGGATTAAGACGCGATGTTTAACGACCTTCCTCTCGTCGATCGTCAGAGACACGTCGAATTAATGAGAAATTTTGTGTTGAAACCAACCACCGCGCGAAAAATCGCGCGAATGTAATTTTTGAAAAAGAAATCTCTCAGACACGAATATAATTCTCTTGATTCACGAAGTTCGACAGGATTTGAATAACGATCTGACGACTGGGGAGGAGGGAGGGGAAGCTATAAAAGTGGAGGATCGCGGAAACTCTCCGGTTCTCGAGACTAGAGATCCAACTCAATGACGTTTTTTCTTGATGCAGATGAAACGAAATTCTTAGAAGGCGACAGAGAGTGAGAGAGAGACACCGGATCAGACAGCCACGCAGTTGAAGCTAGGAGAGAAAGAGAGAGAGAGAGAGAGAAAGAGAGAGAGAGAGAGGTGTGAATCGCGCGAGAGAAAGAGAGAGAGAGAGACAGAAAGAGGATGAACGCGTGTGAGAGAAAGAGAGAGAGAGAGAGAGAGAGAGAGAATGAGATCACACGCAAAAGAGCCGGGGAAAAGATTTAAGTGTAAGAACGTTAAAAATCGGGAAAAACTGACACGTGTGCACTGATGTCGGCCTCTCGTGCTTTTTTTTTTTTTTTATTGTGTTTCCAGTGATGCGTCAGACCGGCCTAAATCTGATCGCAATTACCTAGCCGAAATCTTGCCGCACACTCGACACTAAAACAGGAGAAACACGAGAAACACATTAAGAAAGATAAAGTAAGAGAGAGAGAGAGAGAGAAAGAGAAACGCGCGAGACCGATAGAAGCAGAGAGGTGACCCGGGGATTAGAAGCTGTCAATGGCCGGTCGGGACATCGCCCTCCGTTGCAACAAGCACAGATGTTTCCCTCGAACTGTTCTCAAACGGAGAAAAAGACAGGAAAGATAGAGAGAGAGGTGTTCTCGAAGAATGGTCGTGGATTTCGCGAGAACGAAAAAAGCGCTCGGGTAAAACAAAAAAGAAAAAAAACGTTGTTAGAATTTCTTCGGCTCGCAAAGTGCCAGAGTTCGTCGGTTCTCGTCTAAACTCATCGATATAGTGCAATATATATATATATATATACATAGTACACACGGACAGACGCGCGATGTCGAACGTACGTTTCGGAGTACGTTTTCGAAAAATCTCTATCCCGAGTTTGTCTCACACGAGAGAAAGAGAGAGAGAGAGAGAGAGAGACGTGTTGTTCTTGTGAACGTGACGCGGGAGCGTCGCGTGTTTACCGCACACAAGAAGATCCCCCGACCTCGTGGAGCATAGAATTTATTTTCGAACCTGAAAGCTGCACGGGGGAGAAGAACCGTCTGCTTTTTGTGACGTTAAAACTGTGAACGGGTTAAAAGTCGAAGCTCGAAGTCCGCACGGATATATATATATATATCTACAAGAGAAACGATTGTTGCAAAAGAAAAAAAAAAAACGAGAAGATTCGAAAATGTCATTCGTAAACTTTGTTTGTTGTCCGGTTTCTGACACATCTTGAAGAGAACATCTCGGAAGAGAAGAGAATGTAGAAAATGCAGCAACTCTGATAATACGGATAATACGGACTTACGCGATAAACGATATCGCGTGTTTAACGAGTTTTGTCATTTTCCGGAATTTTCGAGCTCCGTGTGTCAATTGTTGTCAATTTCTCTCACAGTACTATCAATTTTTACATTAACATCCGGGAAAAGAGGACTTTTCTCCCCGTGCGGGTTACGTTATATTCCCTCCAGAAAGAGACGTCCTCTCGCCTTCGTGCTCTTCCCCTCTTTAGGATTAGATCTCGCTAAGTGTGCAATAAGATTTTGATATTAGAATCTTTTTCTTTTAGGCTGTAGAGATATATATATATATATAAATTATATATACATATATAGTTACGTTACGTATAGATAAGCTGTGTTTGTTACGTGTAGGTAGTAAAAAAAAAAAAAACATTGCGGTGGCGGCGAGCGATACAAGTTTGTGAACTCTCGAGGTTCGTTTCATCAAATCGATCGCACAAATGTCGCGGACGGTGCTAAAAAAAAAAAAAAAATGAAGAAGCGCGAGTCGTCGTTCGCGGACAAAAATTGATTCCGTCGGAATCTCTTCGAGCCTTCGGGGGCCTTGAAATTATTTAAGCGCGAGGATTATTTCTGGGGTTTGTGTTATTGGTTTTTTTTTTTTTTTTTTCCGACGAGGTTGCAAACGAGGTGGCGGCAGAACTACGTTGAGTTGCGCAAAATCTGCTGTTTGTGCGCAAAAATCGTGCCGTGTACGCGCACCCTACGCATCGCGTGCGGTTTCATATATCGCATATTCACACACACACACACACATACACACTCACGGCTTTCGATACTTAATTCTTAGAGACTTACGTCAAGGCAGCTCTTCACACACACACACATAGTTTGTATAAACACACACATGTTCACACGTATGTTATGTACATAGGCTAATAGAAGGAAAACAAGGCAGCGCGTGTTCGGAGTGTGTCTTATAGTTGGAAAGATCACTAGGGCAGATATACATACATATATATATATATATCTTTCGTGACATGCATGGCTGCATGTAGAATTTCAAAGACACGAGCGCCTCCGCGAAGCGAAAATTGCACGCATCAAAATTCATTTCGTCGCAAAAGATTCTCTTCTCTCGCAAAGAGAAATTTGTATTTTGACACAATCGCGTTCACGCGCGCGCACTTTTTCAACGCGCGCGAGGCGCGCACTTCTCCGAGGCCCGCGTGTCTACTACTGGAACATTTACAAAATAGTACATGTGTGTATGTGTGCCTCTTCTGTTTTTTTTTTACTTGAGAGAGAGAAAGAGAGAGATGTCTGGTAGATAGGGATAGATTGTGAATGAACAGGGCGGGAGAGCGCGTGAGAGAGAGAGAGAGAGAGAGAGAGAGTGAGTGGTGAAAATTTTCATTGTGTGTAGAGATCGTTTTGCAGAATTCAGAAATTTCGCGTAGAATACATATAATAGTAGAAATAGATGCCGGTCCGTTGCATTGGCGAATCTCAAAGGATTTTTCCTACTTCAATGCTCGCTTTTGCGATTACTTCGCGGATCGCGGAACGACATCCGAATAGCAATATAAGAGAGTTTTGTAGAGACAGAATGGAAGAGACGAGCGCTCGAATCCTTTTGTTTTTCGGCGTAGATAACGAGTGAAAGAGAGAAAGAGAAAGAGAGAGAAAGAAAGAAAGAGAGATCTTACAACGGTTTCTCGGCAAACTGTCGAATTTCACGTTCAATTTGAAGAATCAACTTCTACTTCTAAAGTTTTGGTTCTTTTTTTTTTTATATACACGACAAAGTGCTTCGAATTTTCAGCAAACAAAAAAGTTCCATCTCTCGTTCTCGCGCAGCCAATACAACGTGCCGTGCTTTTTGGAGAAGGTTTGGCATACCCGCGACGCGGGTAGACTCAATGTTCTCTCTTCTTCTTTGCGCGAAGCGTGACGAAGCAAATTTTTCAGTTTTGTATTTTTTTTTTTGTTTTTTTTTGTTTTTTTTTTAATTGTTAAACGACTTGGGGTCGAGGCCGAGGCTTAGTGACCAATGACATGCTATTTTGTCGCCATCCTGCAGGGGATAAAGACAGAGGGCTAAAAATCAATTGAAAAACAAAAAACAAACAATCGAAAAACATGACGCAGGGCAAGGCATTGGCTGGGGGGCCAGGCGCGGCGGGATGGATGCAACAGCGCGAGGCGGTGCCCGAATTTCCGCCACTCCACGATTCAGCGGACTCTGATTCCGACCGGGAAAACGAAAAGCGACCGCGCGTCTAAGACTTACAATATACATATATATATATATATATATATATAAATATATAAATATACAAATTGTTTTCTCCTTCCATTTTTTCCTTCGGGACTGACATCTTGCGCGTGCGCGCGCGACATTGAGGCGAGAGAGAGATTGTGCGAAAGATGCGTGCAAAGAGAGAGAGAGAGAGAGAGAGAGAGAGAGAGAGAGAGAAAGAAGAAAAAAAAACCAAGAATCCACGAAACAACGAGGATCGCACACAATACCTGATACACACGATGAAAGCAAAAAAAAAAAAAAAACACCTATTACACATAAATACACGCACACACGCACGACACGGTCGTTCGCTAGTGTTCCTATATAAGTAACATTTGTTTTTCGATGTTTGAGCAACTCTTTGATTGGTTTGTAACTTAAGAACAATAAGGATACGTGGGGGTGCGTGATAATAATGTCGTCCAAGCGATGTGTGTATGTTGTGTGTGTGTGTGCGTGTGTGTGTATATATGTGCGTGCGTATGTGTAGCGCTTGGCAAGCTCCTGATCAAACCGGAACGGCGGAGGAATCTAATTGCCTAGCTGTTGTTCATTATCAACAAACGTATACGTAATTATTATTATTATTATATATATATATATATAAATATACATATATCGATGCCTAAGGTATATATTAATAATAACTCTTGTTGAGAAGAATCATCAAAGTCCGGGTAGCGGTCCGGTCATTTTTGTAGAAGATTATAATTCGCATCCCCTCCACGTATCCTTTGGATATATCCGGTCTTGCCTTATCGAGCAATTTTAGCGAGAAAACTGCGCAATGCGTATATGTAGTATATATATATATATGAGCAAAGTGTGAACGGAAAAGACACGCGAGCGACGAAAGCGTAGGTCAGTGTGCTCTCCTTTTATACGGCGGAAGTTCGTTTCTCTGAAGACAATAGGTTGACGTACACACGCCTGGCTAGGGAGAGAACGCGTACACACACACACACACACACACACACATGGAACAGTCACACCCCCCTTTTTTTTTTTTTTTTTTTTTTTTATTTCTTCCTGCCTCAGCTCTGCAAATTGATTTTTCTCCCGGCAAAAAGATTGTTGATAAGAAAAAACTTTATCTAAATTTCGGAAATTTTTAAAAGCAAGTTTGCTTTTTTTCGTCGCCAATTAAAATTTATAAATATTTATCTTATTTGTTAAATCTCTCTCGTTGGGAGACTTAAATTGTTGCGCAAAACATTTATTCGCGTCTGCGACAACACAAATCGTTCGAACTCTCTTGTAGCGAGTATTCCGCGTTACGTTTTTTTCCTATTGAAAAGATCCAAGAGAATTTCCGAAGTTTTTTGCACCTCGAGCGGTGGAAATACCTGCGGAATTTAATTACGTTTCGCCATTTTTCGGAATTATAAAACACACAGACACCCACACACAAACACAAACACACACACACTTTTGTTTCCACGTGAATTAATGTTAACGTCACTAAGTTAACCCTTTTTCTCTTATGTTAACGCTGGCGAATGTCTTCTATGTTTATTTTACGACTTAAGCTCCGAATTGTTTATCTTATATAAGTTCAGCTTCTCAGAAACCCGAGCAATAACAATGATCTTGCGCGTGTATCTTCGCGTGCGTGCCAAGAGGTTTAAACTCGTTTAAGGAAAAGAGAAAGGTCGGCGCTGAATAAGTAACGCTTTAAATAAGTATATAAGTAAATAAATATTTTTTTGCTCTAATTGTGCGAATACATAGGTCTGTAATATTTTGTTAATGAAGAATTTAAGTTAAGATACATACACACACTCTTTGAATGTACGATAATATTTTATATTTGTATATACATACACACATATATATATATATATATATAAAATAGTTGTGTAATTAAAATTTGGTTTAATTTTTAAGCATGCACGAAAAATGGCGCTATATGTATCATAGATACAAATTTGTTCTCGATCGATATCGTATTTCGAGATTTGAACCTATTGGCTTTTTTTTATTTTCGTATCGTTCGCGCTCGCGTCCCGCGATTCGCCGCCGGTGCGAAACACTTTGTTCTTTGACGGGGACGTAAATTGCGTTTAGAGAAAATTGATGTGCATGACTGTGACCCGCGAGAGAGAAAGAGCGAGTCGGAAACACACATACTTATACACAAAGCCGCTTCCGTCTCTCCTTCTTCCTCTTTTCTTTATTTTATTTTTTTTTTTTTACGCTACCGAGAGCACGAAAAACCTTTTTATTGAAAAAAATTTGTTTGTTAATCTTTTATCAATTTGTTACTTTTTGATACACATCGTACACACATACACGCAACGTCGAATCCGAAATCGGCTGCGATTCTCGAAACGAAGAGTTTGCAGTTCCGAATTGGCCCACAATCTGTTGTGTTTTCGCGGCCGATCGATCGGATTCGACTCTAACGAAGATTACGTGATTGCGCCTGTCTACCCTTAGTTGGCCGTACGTACGTAGGTACTTATGTACTGTGTATACGTATACATGTGTATAAAAAAAAAATATATATATATTATATACATATATATACATATATATATTCTATACTTTCGTATATCTGTGTATAACTCGCACGCTATTCTATACGTGGCGAGAAAGAAATGTCTCTTGTCAATAACGAACCGAGCAGAGGACACGAGGATTGCGTTTCAAAAGTAACGAAAAAAAAAAAAAAAAGATCCCTCGGCCGGACGTGCGCGCGCGCGCGCGCACAGTCGTTCGAAAAAGTCATTTCTCAATGTATAAATCACAAGATCAAACTCTCTCGCGTAGACGACGCAACACGATTGGTACATGCGCGATTCCTGAATAAAAAAAACAAAGCACAATCCGTTTGCCACGGAAGCCATTGCATCCCGATCATAGAATCGTCGCGAGTATATATATATATATTTCTCGACATCGGCGACGAGAATCCCTCTTGCAAATCTTCTCGGACTCGGTGATTTGTTTGTTTTTTTTTTTTTTTTTTTTTTGTTCTCATAATGACATTGAATGAATTCGCGCGCGTACACGGCCGGAATGCTGTTTGCTTTCAGGAGCTGTCGCCTTGAAATCCTTAGGAGAAACGCAGGAAGAACGCATACTGACAAATTAAAAACAAAAAAAACAAAAAAAAAAACAAAAAACAAAAAAACGAGAGTAAAAGTGAGAGTGAGAGAGAGAGAGAGAAAGAGAGAGAGCAAAGAGAGAGAGAAAAAAAAAGAATACAATTGTGGCCGCATTGTTATCGCGATAACGCTCGCGCAATCCGATCACCTCACTATCTGTGATCCGAGGCTCGTCTATGAACGGCGAGTAATACGAACTAAAAAATCGATATTAAGATATTAAGATTACGTAATGCGCTCGTATCTGGAAGCATTCGAGATCAGACAAATCGAATAAGATTTTTGTCATTCATCTCCGGCGTATTTTGTGGACCTAACTTCTCTTGTACAAGAAGAGACCCTTTTGTACAAAACCGCAAGATTGGATCTTTTCAATTTTTTTTTTTTGTTTTTTTGTTTTTCACCGGGTACATGTTGATTATTACATTCGAGAACGAAGTGAACTCGCGCGAAGTAAAGTCTCTTTTCGCTGATTTTTCTACAACTAACATAAGTCTTGTATAAAACATGCCAAGAGTAAATCTTGTCGTTGGCGCGAAATTTTCGTATTTGTAAGCTTTTTTGGTGATGAGAAAAAAAAACAAAATTGCATTTCAAAGTCAACACGGTAGGAATGCGCGTCGCGAGCCACCGAGAGTGAGAATTTGCTCTCGATTTGTTCTCTAATGTGATTCTCTTCGATTTTTTCTGACTTCGACGAACTACCGATACCGAATGCTTCCAGCCGTCGACGACAATGTTTTTCCCTTCTTACCCCTCAGCGATTCATCAAGAGCAGAAAAAAATATATATAGCAGAACGGAATGATGTATAGCAAACGCGCATAGAGAGAGAGAGAGAGAGAGAAAGAGAGAGAGAGAGAGAGAGAGAGAAAAAATGCGAGAATGAACGAGGAAGAGAGAGAGAGAGAGAGAGAGAGAGAGACAGAAGCAATGGTCCTGCGACACAACATTAATGTATACGATTTTTCAACACGAAAAAAATATTATATATTGTAGCTATATATATAGAAGTATATATATAAAAAAGAGGATAGTACATAGGTAACCATTATGGCTATAAGCGCATCATTGTAATGACGATGGTAATTAATGTGACGATTATTATTAATTATTTTCATTGATTTATTATTATTATTATTATTATCTGCCATTATTATTATTATTATTATCACTATTATGATTATTGGCGATTTTCGCGTTAACGATCATCGCAACGATAATTGTATCATGATGACGATAAGTATAGCTGGATATGAATTTTAATTAAAGTTTCCTATAAAGTCGAAATTTTTTTCTCTCGAAAGAGACGTACTTTTCTTTCTCTTGGTTTTTTTTTTTTTTTTTTGTCTCGAACGTTTGCAGCGTTTTTGGACCTTTTGGTCGAAGAGACACCGAATAAATTCTTTTTCTCTTGCTTTATCCGTTCCATCGATTAGTTGCTATCGTAATGAAACTGCAAACGAATGATTTATTGCTTAGCGCGTATAGGGTAAGCGAGACAAGAAAAAAAAAAGGATATCCCATTCATTGTATAAACAAAATCAAGGCGAGAGAGATTGTGTGAGAGAAAGAGAGAGAGAGAGAGAGAGAGAGAGAGAAGAGAGGTATGAATATTTATGAGTATCCTCCGAACGATTAGGTGTGGTTAAAAACTCTGTTGTTAAATAAATATGTCGCGAGCGAATCGCTCGGCTAAAGATCGGCTTCCGAAAACGGACTTTTTTTCCGCGTGTTTAATTTCTCTTTGTCCTTTTGTGTTTAACTTCGAGACGAGAGAGAGAGAGAGAGAGAAAGAGAGAAAGAGATATTTAATTTCAACAAACTCTAAAATCAGATATGTAAATTCAATTTGTTCAGATCAATTAAAAACGTTCGCGTGATGTCTTCGCGGTCTCGAAATTGTTTTAATAATTTCGAAAAGTTGACGCCACATGAGTTTTATATTTTTATAAAATATATTATCGAAATTGTACGCATTAATCTTGTAATTGAAAAAAAAAGAAACAAAAAACAAGAATAAATTACTTACTTTGCAAATAAGTAATTGTCACAAGTAGCAACTGTTTACACGAGAGAGCGGGTTTTCTCATAGCGTGATCGCGTTTAAAACTGTTCTATATTCTCTCGGTTTCGGCGGCCACGCTATCTTTAGCCGAAATCCTTCGCTAATCGTGCGACCAGTACAAGTGCGTTCCGGCACAGCTAGTATACGAGAAAATGCGGCCGAGAGGGTTCGCTGTGAGTGCGCCCCTCGAGCGTCCCTTAATAGGCTCTACCTAATAACATTTAATAAATAAAACGAGAATTAAAAAAAAAAAAAAAAACGAAGAAAAAAACTAAAAAACAAATACAGATCGAGATAATACCGACATGATGTGCGAGAGAGAAAGAGAGAGAGAAAGTGAGAAAGAACGAGAGAGAGTGAGAGAAAGAAAGTGAGCGAGTGATCAGAAAAATAATGAAAAAAAAAAGAAAAAAAGAAAAAAAAATACGCGTTTAACGTATTTGCGAACAAAAATACGCGATATATTATATAAGATATTATTATATATTATATATATTTATATCCTTCGCGCGCTCCCCCTCCCCCTCGTGCTCCCAGTCACCTCCTTTCTCTTCTCACCTTTCGTCGTCCTTTTCTCTCCGACTTACGACTTTTGTGCGACAGCGAGAAGGAAACGAAAAAAAAAAAAAAGCAAACTGTGGAAATATAATAATAATAATAATAATAATAAACGCCGGTAGTTTGACTCGCACGCTGATAAACGCTGATTGATTGTTAAACTGCATTTACATTTTTGTTTTTTTTTTTTTTTTTTTTTTTTCCTCGCCTCTCGGAGTGTCATCGGTGTCACGGCGTTAACTGTCGTCGATTTAAGAAAGCCCTTTTTCCCACACGACCCTCGTCTGCCCGACTACTAATCTCGACCAATATTTGCCCGATGATCGTACCGCCACAGAGACGATGATGATATTTTTGGATTGATTTCTTCGTGTTTCAACCGCGAAGCGTGCGCCTCTTTCTCTTTTTACGCCGGAGACGCGCGCGCGGCGTCTCATCGCCGATACGATTTCGTATTCACGTATGATGATCTCAGATATATATAAATATATATATATATATAAATATATATATATATATATAAATATATATATATATATATAAATATATATATATATATAAATATATATATACATATATATATATACATACATATAAACGTCCGTACGCGGGAGACGATTGTCGACGTTGTGGCCCGAAAGACGACAGTATACCACACACATACATACACACACACACACACACATAAACACACAGAAATCATTGTATCGATTCGAAACATTATGATAAACTTAATAAAAGGATCGAAAAAATACAACGCCTCTGGTTTTTATTCACTCTACCGACAAATCCTGATAGAATCGATCGTGATGTGAAATTGAAAAATGGCCCGCTAGGAAAAAATCGAATCACAACACCACGATTTTGTTTTTGCAATATTCTTTATTATAATATCAATAATAATATATGACAGTAATCGCAATATGTTTTAATTAATAATATACAGTATACATTGCTATTATTATCATCATCATTTCATTATCCGTATTTTTTTTTTTTTTTTTCCCATAAACGTACATGAACTTTTTTTGAATTGGAAAAAGTGCGCGTAAAACGTACATAATAATAATAATATGTTACATCAGAAAAAGAAAAAACTAATCGCGTCGTTTTGACAAACCGGACCTATACATATACATTACAAATTCGATTAATACTTCTGTTCAACTTTAACGCTAATCTTAAAATTCTCTGTCCCTCTGTCGTTCCACATCGTAACATGTTATATATCACTGTACGAGCACTTGGGGCGGGCCAACCGTGTTATTCACTTTACAGTAATGGATGTCTCTCGATTGCGAAAAGATTATCTAAAACAAGAAGTTGCGTTCTCTCTACGACGAACGAGACCGAGGCAAAACATAATAAGGTAAGAATAGATGTTACTCGCAATGTGTAACGCAAATTGCACGTATTCAACTCCGTTTGAATTGTTCGCGATTACTTTTTTTTTAAACACATGTGCAAAGATAAAAAAAAAGTGTGTGTGTCTACGCGTCGCGTGTTGCGGCGCATTTTGCCACATAACAACTAAAGCAGACTTTCAACGAAAGTTTGTTATCGATTAAGGAGGCTGCAGACCAGAGTGTTCGGTCGAGAAAGTGACCAAATCTCGTTTTTATTTTTTTGAAGGTATAAACAAATGGAATTTTACGTTCTCGATTGTAAAAATATAAATGTATATATAAATGTGTTATATATACTTCGACAAATATTTAGAAAAGATAAACGTTTCTTCGAATTTACAATGCAAGACTCTGAAACATAATTTTTGATGGCTGTGATAATGTGAAAGAAATTTTTCGATCGTTATTTCGACACCGTTGGGCTCTTTGACTCCTTAATCACAAAGTTGATCATGATACAAACTGCTATTCACCACAAATAGAACGGCTCTCAATGGTTTACACAGTTCTTCTTTTATACGTTTCGGCGAAAGCACAGCGCGTTTATCGAATGGTCTTTCGAATATATTTAAAAAATAAGTTTTTGTTTTTTTTTTATATATATATAAATAATTCCAATGTGTGTGACTGAATAGGACAAATTTATACGAAAGCTACATTTAGAGGTATGTACAAATCTTAGACTTTACGTATACATATATAAACTTACATGCGACGTATTCCCTGCAATATATATATAAATATTTTTCCACACACATGTAACATATAGTGTATACATATACATATATATATATTTATATAGATATATAACATATGCACCTGGAGGGGGCACATTTATAATTCATATGTCACAAATATAAAATGTATCACACGAGTGTCATAATTTACAAAATCTCTATTTTCTAAACCAGCCTGTCCTAGTTGTGGTCAATGGCAAGAAGAAATTCCATTTATCTTATTGATTTATCTGCTGGAAATCTGCTACCGAAAGATTCTCTGCCGAAAAACTTTCAGTCTTATTTGATGAGTTTTTGCTAGAAATTTGGTTATAAACGAGCCGAGGATATAATATTTTTTCAACGAAACGTCATTCGTTTTCCGAAACGACATTTGTCACAAACGGGATCTCTATTAAGACAGGACGAAGCGTATAATAATCTAACAAACACGATGAGACAAACTTGAGCCGGATAGAACTACTATAATACTTGCGAGAGCGTGTTCACTCCGTGTGGAAATTTATTATTTTAATATCTAAGAGTTTTTAATAAAAGTATATATATATATATATATATATATATATATCCAGCGTACGCGCGCATACGGGAGAGCAAAGGTCTAAAACCAAACCCTCCGTGCTCGTTTCTTCTTTTTGTTTTGTTTTACTAGAATGCTCTTTACACACATCCATTATTTATCACCGCTCTCACAACCTTCTAGGACTATCGTATTTCCTCGTGGAGATAGACACCAACGGACGACTCTTAAAAATCTAACGCAATTGAATCAGTTGAAAACGCGATACAAACGCTCTCCCTCATCACTCCTCGCACTCTATCCACTGTTGATGGCAGTTGCGTATTGGTGTATCAATGTTATATAATATAATTGTATACATACACGTACATACATACATACATACATATATATATATATATATATATATATATATATATATGTATGTATATAATCCGACATAAAACAATATTTCCATTATATTCCGTATCGTCGAATAAAATTTTTCATATCCCTAACATCTCATATTTTTACCGGCGCCTTTAATGTTCCTCTCTCCTTCCTTTGATATATAAAATCAGACTTAAAATTACAGCACGTATGAGGCCGTGTAACAAATATTCTACGATAAGTTACAATTAGCGCTACGATCTCCCCTTTCGCCGCTCTCTCTCCGTAATACAAGATACACTCTTTCGATGACCGACTAAATTTTAATTGTAACTCTTGAATAGAGTCTCATACTTTTTTTCGTTTCCGATTCGATCGAATCGTAGAACTCGAATCTTCGCTCGTCGATTCTGATGCTGCGCGATGTTAACGCGCTAACAAAAACTATAAAGCACAAATATTATTACGGGAATGCACTCGCGTATTTTCACATAACATACCGATGATCACATACCTGTTCGCGAATTGAATTCGTAGGTAGGTAATAAATAGGTTTGATGAAAAAATACGTGTTTCTAAAATATAATAAGAAACAGAGAGAAATATACATACAATAATAATATAATATTATATGTATAATTTTTTTTTTTACACAAATCTATTGCACTGTGCATCTAAACATTCCGCGAAATTTATCAAGGGTTAATCTTCTTCTTTTTTTTTTTTTCTTTTTTTTTACGAAAAAGTGAGCAACAGAGAAGCTTCTAATTTAATAAACAAAATACAGTAGTTTTCCATTACCTTGCGTCGTTAAAATCTTTTTCGTCATTTTTTTACGGAAGGAGAACTTTTTATCGTTCCCTTCGATTTTCATCGCGCGTTCCAAGTATTATTTTACAACGCATTGTCTTCTAGAGCTGTGTTACGCGATGTTAACAATAAAACAATCGAGTGGAATTCAACGTGTGAAGAAGTTTATCTAAACAAATATATATATATATATCGCCATCTCAAAAAGATTAGCCGTATACAATATAAATTCGTACGGTTGCGCATAACACTCCAAAGAAAATATTCACGGTTTCTAGAGAAATGAAAAGTCACATTATACACGCGACTGCGCAATATAATTCTCTAAGAAAAATCGCCTAATTTGAATAACAAACTATCTGCGCAAATGCTCGCAACAATTATCGTGGAGGATATCTGTTGGGTGGCATATTCTTCACCGAATGATCCTTTATGTCACTCGGGTTGAACATCATTGGTCCCTAGAAATCAATCTTAATTGAAAGCACGTAAAGTTAGCGTGTCTCTGTAAAAAGTTAACATTAGTTTACAAGATAGTTACAAGATTTAAACGAGAAAACTTCCTCGATTTGCCAAAGTTTTTACTGTGTTTGAGAAACAGATATTAATATATTATATATACATTTATATATTATTATATATATATATATTATATTACATGTATTAAATATTTGATATATGTAAGCAGTAAGGGAACATAAATCTTGTTACTCCTCTTTATCAATCTTCGCTAAAAAAAAAAAAAAAAAAAAGTTGCAATTTCGCAATTTATTACACGGCATGAGAAGATGCCGCAACACAAATTGTAAATCGAAAATTACAGTAATTAAAAAAAAAAAAAAAACAGAAATAAGTAAACTTATTTTACAAAATCTGATTCTGAATTTTTGAACATGTGTAATGTATCCTTCACCAAACTCTTTCCCTCGATTCCATGACAACGATTAATGAAAATAGTGATTGACAGTAACTGATAAGCGTAAGCTGATTTTTTTTTTTTTTTTTTTTTTTTAGTAAATGAAAGCAGCGAGTTATTAAGTCTCGGCACGTGTACGAAAACTCATTAGTTTGTGAAAAAAGATATTTTATATTATTATTACCGTAAACTCTCCTGTGTGTGTGTGTGTGTGTGTGTGTGTGCGCGCGCGCACGCGCGCTCGCACATATCGCAATAATAAATTTTAACAAACGTGGCCATCTTTGGTAATGCAAGAGAAAGTTAATGCCACTGAATTACCTTGTTCCGTTGAAGGAGTCGCGGATCCCTCATCGTGTAGCTCTGCACCTCTCGTGATAACGAGCTAGTTGAGCTCCAGCGAGAGAGCTATATGCCATATACAACACAACAATGCTGTCTCACTTACAAATATTTATCACGTTTGCTTTATGATTAGCTAGTCTTATCGTATGTACATTACTTTCGGGAGTAACACCGATTTCTTACGCTCACATGTTCAATTGAATGATTGCGGAATATTTTACCTCATTGTTTTTTTTTTTACTAATCGCAGCTAAATTTTTTCTTTTTTTTTTTTTTAACAGTTAAAATCGGTATTACGCAACTTTGTTTTCGTGTACTATAGGAGTAACATTTTGCAGCAACTGGAAGAACACATTGTATTTTTTTTTTCATGCTCCGAGATGCAAGTATACAACAAAAGTGGTTTTCACAAAATATTTTGTAACGCTGTGAGGATTATTCACAAAAGATGTGTGTATCGTATTATCATTATTATTATTATTTGGTTACACTAATCTTCTTTACAATTGGTACATGCAAAGCAAATTGTGGATTTTCATATTAGCTGTATAAAGCGCTACTGACTGATCATAAAATGTTGACAATGAAGCATTATTCTATCGAGCCAAAGTTTTGTGCGCGTGTATATTCTGCATGATTTCACATGCAACAAACTGCAAATTTTATATTACATATATAACCGTATGTTTTACAGTATGTTTTTTTGCATAAGCAACAGTTTGCGTTCAGCGAAACAGAGCGCTTTGTGATTATTACTTGTCATTATTCAACATATACACTTTCACATTTTCAATCTAGAGGAATAGACCAATCACAGATAATAATAAGCACAAAGCGTTGAATTCCGCTGAAACGCGATCAAGTGAGTGAGAAAGCGTGCGTGCGAAATATCGAAAAAAGTGAATATGAAATTAATGTAAAAATGAATTTCCTTACTATATCGAAAATAAACTATTATTTGGCTATATCATTCTGCTTCCCCGACTGCTTGCATAAAAGGAACAAAAAAAAAGGTAAGATTAAAAACACAGATGTACATATAGAAGACAGATCTATCTATATATATATAGATATATATATATAGTGTATATATATATATATATATATAAATATCTATATATCTATATCTATGATATATAGATATATATATCGTGTTACTAAAATGTAATAAAGGAAGCGAGGGAGATGTATTTTTCAAGTGGTGCTATTAATAACAGTGCCGTAGCAATTATCTCGTCTGTTTGTAATAAGAAAAGAAAACTTGCATAGTGCTTGAGCAGTCCGACTCGTAAATTTAAACACGCTTCGTTAAAACCTATATAAATTACTTTCTGACACACATACATATATTTGTGTAAAAAAGTTATAAAAAGTAATGATTATACATAAAAAAAAAAGAAGTATAGGACAGTACGCGTGACTACTTGTCAAAAAGAATCAGAAAACTATATGTACGACAATAAACAAGGAATTAATGTAAAAATATGTACAAACTGTTCGTTAAACAACCTAAACGCAAGAAGAAGACTGTATAAACATCTAATCGGATTACGTTAACATTAAGCTTCATAAACACGCCAAAAAAAAAAAAAAAGGAATCTAAGCCGCATACTAGCAAAAACTGCACAATGCAAGAATGACAAAAAGAAGAACTGTATATAAATGTAAATATTTAACTGGTGTGAGAGAAACTGGTATATGTGTGTGAAATTTGTACTGTTAATGTAATAAGTGACAATGACAATATTTGTAACAAGTTCAACGGTTCAAATATTGCAATCGCATATAGAGGTGGTTGTAACCAACGTTTTGTAGGCCACTTACAGTTTGTGGTGTATTCTCCGCGACGTTTCCGGATGGTTGTGCTGTCGTTGTTGCCGGAGTCAAGAAATCCACGGGAGCGGTCGAATCATTAACTATATCGCAACATAATATCAAAATAATACTTTCATCAACATTTTCTAATGTAAATGACCATCTTTTTTTTTTTTTTATGCTTAAAGTCTCAACTATATTTCACTTAAACGTTTTATTTCGTGTATCTTAATTGTAAGTGCATATATTATGCCATGTCAAAAACAATTTTGGAACAAACTTTGCGTCAACGTATTAAATAAAACAAAACAACCAAGTAAGAGACAACGCGATGAGAAAGCCTTTAGAAATTTGAAATGACTCACCTGGCGCAGGAACGAACAGTTGCGGGGACGAAGTAGCCATAGGAACAAGCGGAGATGTCATGGGAGTGGGCATGTTGGATGATGCGCTACCTTTCGGCCCGTTGGGATTGATTATGTCTACATAATTGGCGCGCATACTCCTATTCTTCGGCAGTTTGTACATATTGCTGCCGGTAGGCATTTTTGGAACCTCCGCCGCAGGTGCGTCCTCATTGTGAGCGCTCGATAAAGACGGCGGTTGCAAATTACGTTCCGTCATCGTTGTCGGCGTACGAAAACTGATGTCAGACATCTTCGGGGGTGGCGCCAATGCCGCGGCACCGCTGTCACTGTCCTCATCTTTGTTTGTCCACTTCTTCGTTTCTGGATCCCATACAATCTGCAGCGGAAAAGATAACAAAATTGATCAAACACAACAACGTCGTTTCGGCAAAGCGATAAAATCTTTTTCTCTCTGTGTGTTACTCTTGATATATGTTAGAAACAGATCTAGCTAACGAATTAGAAGTTTAGTGGCATTCGTTAGTTAATAACGATAGTCAACAAATCCCGCACTATATATACTGGCCTGGTTTTATCGTCCGGTCTTACACAAGCATTGTTGTAACCGTAAGTAGCATTCTATTACCAAAAGTATCCGCGCAAGCCCTTAACGACATAAAACATAAAACCGTCCATTTCGTGACTTTCAATCAAGCTAGAAAGACGGAAGTGTCAGGTACAAAGCGCTGAGATGTTTTACCTTCGGATTGCTGTCGTCCGGCAATATCATTTGGTTTCTCGGTTTCGGGGCGAATTTGCTGATCAAACCACCGAACCAGGAACCGCCGCTGTTGACGGGTTTCTTTTCGGCCGTCTTCTCGCTCGCTTTCTTTGTTTCGTTCGAGAGTTTCGAACTCGGTCTCGGTGTTTCAAGCGCGTCAAGTTCTTCCAGAGGATCGTACTGCTTGCTCGTCGACGACGGCGTCATGGTGATTTTTGGCTGCACAGGCTGAAATAAAATATACGATTGATCATCGCAAACTGGTTCCAGCAAAGTTCATCACTATTTACTGTAAACAATGCGAGTTCGCTCGATTATTAACACGCCGATTCGATTCTTCTCCACACGCTCGGGGAAACAAGAAGAAAAATTAAATTATATGCGATACTCACAGATGTATTTACAGTAAAAAATGAAAAACTTTGCTTACCCCGTGTGTTTATTTTTAGATAGCGGTGTCGCGCTCTTTCTCTCTGCGACGATACGTCAGAGATGTGTGCAAAGTGCAGACTCTCGCATCGGAGAAAAGTAGAATGTAAAAAAATGCAGATAAATTGTGATAAAACTTTATTACAATAATGGATTATATAACTGGATTACGGTAGTAACAATATAACACGTGTTTTTTTTTGTTTTTTGTGTTTTACATTTAATTGCACTTAAAACAGTAACAATTTTTTTAGATTTTGTAAAATTACACACTATCGTAACTAACGAACAAAGAAACAGAAAAACGCCTTCTCTCTCTCTCTCTCTCTCTCTCTTTACATTTCTACTTATTTAATCACAGCATACATAGCATCTGTTCAATTCGTCGTTAGCATCTAAGATGATTCTGGTGTTAAATTCAAAGTTTCAAAATGTAAAATTTTGACACGCGGCATATATAAGAATACCGATAAATTATTTTTTATCACAAACAAACTGATATAGTTTCTTTGTTACTCGATTACTCAAACGTTTGTATAATTGCTCCACACACGCAAAAACAAAAAGAAAAGAAAAATAATATGCGGCGTATATTAGTCACGTTATTTAATAACAAGAAACAACGTCTTGCGACTATATATATATTAGGTCTACCGGAAAGTTCTGTCCGTTGTTTTGGAATAAAACAAAATACAAATTTTTCTTTTCGTTAAATAAACTTGATTAAATAATATAATTGCCATTATATTATTAATGATTTCTTGCCAGGGCAATTTGTATATCCCATTGTTGAAAAATTAAGAAAAATTTGTATTTTGTTTTATTCCAAAAACGGACAGAACTTTCCGGTAGACCTGATATAAAGTTTGCAAAATCTAGTCATCTAGTCACCTCGTGTGGGAGCATCAATGTTATAAGTCTCGACGGTATTATCTTTCAAATAATTATTTCTAAGTCTAAGCGGCAAATCGATCGGATACGTGCCACCGAAAACCAATGGCTTGTATCTCGACTCGCAGACGTTCCGCCCGATATTATTGTCACAAGACCACGCGTCAACTGTATCACAAATAACATCTTTTCTCCGAATATGCGGAGCTACTCTCATGACTTTTTTATCCTCGAAATTGCAATACTGTTTCAAAGTTTGCGCCTCGCTGTCAGACGCGATATTGTTCTCGATATTGAACTCGGAAGATGAATCCGATCCTGTGAAGGATTCGAGTTTCAATTTGCTAAATTGAATATCTAAGTCTGTGGTTTGAGAAGACGGTGCAGATAAGATCTTTTCGTCCGTCTTGTCGGTCCCTTTCGTGTCCGTATCGTCCAACGAATTCTTTTTCTTAACTTTGCATTTAAGAAACATCGGCGGTTGCGAGCTCGGTGGTTTCGAAAGTGCCAATTCCGCGCGCACGGGTCTCTTGATATCTTTCGAATGAATTTGGTTGTTGTTCCGCAGAATTTTCGGATAGCTCGCGGTCAATTTGGGATATCTTTTACGCGAATTTTGCGCTTTAGCCTCGAGACTACCGTCAGACGTATCGAAGAACATGGACACGTCGTTAAAAGTGTTATCGTTAAGCGCGGAGGTGATACAAGGATTTGATTTCGCAGACACATTGCGACGCCGTAATGAACTAGCACCCAGCGACTCATCAGGATTATTGCTCGAGGTAAGTCCGTAATTACTTACTTCAGGAGTTGGCGTTTTGTCTTCTTTTTCCGCCTGTCGACGAGGAAGCATTAAGAAACAGGGGAACATGTTAATTTTGCAATGCTTTGACAATGAATATTATATGGATTAAAAACAAAACTGTATTTACTTTCTTCTATCAAATAAATTACATATGAAAAGAACTAAGGAACTAAGCAAGAGTTGGGCAATTTACAGACAAATTCTGTAAAAGAGAAATGAGAGAATAAAAAGATGAAAACAACATATGCGATTCGATTTTTATGACAACAACAGAGGGATCTCTTTTGATGAGAATTCTTCCGCAACGCATTTTTCAACCTACCTCATAGTTCCAATTGTCTTGCTGCTGCAAGTTATCGGTCTCGATCTGTTCGGCGGTCAAACTCGGCATTGATTGTTGTTGCTGCCAGTTGTTAGGCGGCATATTAGGTTCGTTTCTCCCGTAATTGCCCTGATAAAACGGCTGTTGATTCCAATAATCCTGCGACTGGTATTGCACAGACTCGTCCATGTTTCTCACATACTGCGCATTCGGATCGTACGTGTCTTGAATATTAGCGGGCAAAGATAGCGGCTGTCTGATCGTCTGCAAATCGGCGGTACTGGTTTCCGCCATCATCGTGGGTTCGTCGCTGTATTCGGATTGAGCGCCGGTCCATTGTTGTTGCGACATCGGCGGCAACGATTGTTGCTTCATTTCGTGAACATCGTGTCTTTCCACGGCCGCGTAAGAATCTACGCGAGCACCGTACAATTCACCTTTGGCAACCGATTCGTCCTGCAAACGAAATTTTCTCCGTTTAACACACGCGCGTCTCGAGATCAATATTAATTTGATTATTATAAAATTAAAACCTATTTATATATATATTTTTTTTTAAACTTGATTTTCGAATTAGTTGAACAAAGTACAAAGCATATCGATCTCTCGTTGTCAAGTACAATATCCGCACGTGATGATTACCTGAGACTTGCCGATTATTTCCTCCAATTTTTCAAGCCACACTAAATTCACGTTGGAAACATCTTCCAGAGCGTGTTTATAGACCGGATCGTGATACTTCAACCGATCGCCAAGTTCATAAACCGATCTGATGAAAGCTTTCTTATATTTCGAAGGTTCGTTCGCAATATTCGTTGCAATCTGTTCAATATATAAGAGCGCTTTCTCTATCAAACCGCAATCCACCATTTTTAGCGTTAGATCAAACTTGAATGTTTGCAGATCAACCAGCGTGAAACTCGAATCGCTGAGATTGCGAGCGTATTCGTAGATCTCCGTCAACATGACAGCTTCGTTTGTGAGAAATTCAGAATAGGGTTTATTCTGATTCGCGCCGATTAACACGAGTTTGACCCCGTTTGTTCCGTAAGATCCGAACTCGATTTGCGCGAGGATGTAACAGAAATGTGCGGCATAGATGTCCCCTCTTCCGAACAACGTATCTCCGAGAGTTGTTATCGAGCGGCGATTAATTTCCGGATTTGATGAGGTGTTGGAAATAATCATAGCTAAGTGAGGACGCCAATCCTCCCAACGTGAATCGGCAACGCACTGTAAGAACAAAAAGGAAGGTGACTCACACACACGGCACAGAGATGTGCAAAATTCAATTTTATATACGAAGTGTGTTAATCCTTTGCACTCTCCAGTGGCGACTCTCACTCACCATGTGGTTTGATGCCGCAACTCCAGAGGTGACTCTCAATTATGTTTGTAAAGGTGTAGAGATATATAAAATGTTAAAATATAAAAATTTGTGCGTGTAATGATTTTAAGTCACTGGTAAGAAATGCGTCAAAAGGGCTGAGAAACGTCTGGAGTTGCTGGTGCGCCGCGCGAAAAAGGCCTGGAGTGCAAAGGGTTAAATAACTTCAAAGCAAAGAAACGTGACTTCTACCGTGACTATGGCGGGTACGCGCCCAGAATGCAGCTGATAGAGAGTCTGCAACGGATCGTGCGGTGGTAAACTGTTTGCGAATCGAATCATAACGGAAGCATACGTGCGCTTGTCCAATTTGCTGGCCAGGAAAAGAGCATGACCCCAAAGTCCCTCGTTCATCGCATATTCTGTTGTAAATATGCGAAGATAACATTGAAATGTTCAGAACGTTCAGAGAATGCTGGATCATAAAAACGCAAAAAAGTCTTTTTTGTACCTAATGCTTCTTGTATTCGCCCGTAAAGCAACGTGTCCCTGTACTCGTCTGTTATTTCCTCCACTGTTTTTCGCTGTTTTATTTCCGTTTTGTCGGACAACGAGGATATGTCCTGAGTACTTCCGTCACCGCCCGTAGCGCTGGATCTTTGCGACGCTTGCGACTCCCTGCGTCCTACGGTTTGAGACTTGAGTTTGTTCCCGTCGTTATAAGCGTCCTTGTTGCGCAGCAAGAGCGCAGCGATATCGACTCCGACCACTTTCTGCAACGATTCGAGCAATTTGTGCGTGACGCACAAATGTGTCGTTAAATAAATTAATTAAATTTCTTCTAAATTATTGTCCAAGGGGAGAGGATACACTTACCCCATTTTGTTGAATAAGCATAATCATCAGTTCGTATAAAAGAATGTACGATGCGCGATAATTCATTTCCTCGTTCGTCAGTGCTTTCCTGATCTTATTTTCGCAATATTCTATGATAGTCTTCTTGTGTGTTACACCACTGGAACCACAAAAATTACATATCATTTTTGCACACATATACGTGCACACTTGCGTTCCTTTACATACCGCGGCGATATATATGTACGTAATGCGCGCGCAAATGTACTTACGTAATTAGCGGTCCCAGATATGATCGTAACTCGCACACGAGAGGATCGTGCGAGAGCAAGTTATCCAAGCGAAAAATGTCCACTTTGGCCCTCTCGCCGTCAGCCGGATAGCTCAAAGGAACATGAACCAAAGATCCAATGGAAAAGCATCCTGTGAAACAAAATGCTCAAATTTGTTTCAATGCTATTCAAATACAAATAAAAAATGTAATAACATAATTCACGTTTTGTGTATACCATATGCGTGAGATGTGAAGAATTTAGTTGGCGTTAACTGAGCGGAAGTAATAGTTGAATCTTCCAATGTTGACATCTCACCCAATGTCCGTTTATCACCAGCAGTTCTGAAATAGAAATAATTGTTTCTTTTTTTTCACGATGTTAAAACACGAGTTACGAAACACAAAAACGATACAATAATTATAACGAGTGTTAGAAAGCACATATTGTAAACAAAATAAAGCGTGTTCCACCACAAATTTACAACAAATCTAATTTAAATAAATTCAAACACATTACTCTTATAAAAAAAATCTTATATACAAATATATAAATTTTATCTATGTGTAAAAGTTTGATGTTAAAAAGTGTATTCCGACTTTCTAAACATTGAATATTTATAAATTATCATTACGATATACAGGGTGTCCCAGAATTGCCGTACAATCTCTCGTAGGCAGGTAGAAGGAATAAAACTGAGTCGAAAAGTCCTGAACCATTTTTTTCTATTATTTATAATAAAGGAGTAATTATTGAGTAAATCAGGCCAATCAGCGCCGACCTTTAGCCAGGCCACGCGCCTGGCTGTGTGTAAGCACTCCGCGCAGTTCACTGACGTGCGCCTGGCTAAAGGTTCGGCGCTGATTGGCCTGATTTACTCAATAATTACTCCTTTATTATAAATAATAGAAAAAAATGGTTCAGGACTTTTCGACTCAGTTTTATTCCTTCTACCTGCCTACGAGAGATTGTACGGCAATTCTGGGACATCCTGTATATTCGACAGCGTAACTCACAAATAAATTACATACATGTTCTATCTATGTTGTTGTCTAGCTTGACTACGCACGAAGAAATCTCAAATAAAATACTAGGAAAAAAGAAAAAAAACAAAAAGAAAACTGAATTTCTCTTCGACGGTTTAAGATTCCTTTAAGAACCGAGAGCGGGCTCTCGGTCTCACCTATTCAAATTGTGACAAGCCGTATCACTGCGCTGCCGCGGATTGCCGGCACATCCGGGATATCCGAAATGCGGAACACAGAGTGTCTTGTTTGGTAAGTGGAAACATGCACTTGGGAACGGAAACAATCTGACATACAACGAGCGTTATAGATGATCCGTATCGAGACGAATAACAGTGAGTACAACAACAAAACAAAAAATGAAACTAAAAAAATTCTCGTCTTTTTTTTTAAATTATCTCTCGGCCAAAAAAGACGTACCTGTCGTCGCAGGAACTACGGCCAGAATGAACACTAGCTCTGTCCTCCGGATAATTGCTAACACCCCTAGCCATTTGTTGTTGTTGATGCTGACTGTACATGTTGTACCACTCGGCGTACCTAGCGTACGCGTGATACGCGTGATAATCGTAATGAGCATTGTATCCATATCCTGCATTTCATAATTAAATTTTTATCAGCGATTTTAATACAGAAAATATTGCGTCTTGCACAAACATATCTTGGTTTAGCCATATACGTACGTACCGTAACCATAAGGTGGGTAGTAGTAGTCGCAGTCCCTATCGTTGTAGGAAGATCTACTCGAAGGTCTGGAACTGGAAAGACAACACATGTGTACATATGTATATACAGTCTGGGGTACGTTCCAAAATCTTAAGCCTATGTCACACTACGGATTTGGATTGAAATTAGATTGCAATTTGGTCAATCAGAGCGAAGATCAGTAAACTTAGGATTGGTTTTCTTTCTTCTGATTGATCAAATTTCAATCCAATCCCAATCCGTAGTGTGACATAGGCTTTACCTTGGTAACCGAAAACTATAGTATACGTTACGTAAAATATAGCATTTTAGTAACCAAGGTAGGATTTTGGAACGTACCCCTTGTGTGCGTTACAAGTTGATTAAATATCAGAGCTACCATACCCTCTTCCGTATCGATCATCATGATCTCTCCTGTACGGATCTTTGATATCGTAATCGTTGTATCTTCGAGGTCGTCTGTCATCTCTCCTTCTGTCGCGATCTTTTCTACGATCGTCCAATCTTCTTCTGCCGTCCCTCTCGTCCGGATCCTCTTTCCCTCGGATTCTTCTGTCCACGTCTTCTCTTGCGTATCGATCCAAATCGTCGCGACTGTGATGTTTGCGATCGTCGTCCCGATACGTACCGACGTCACGACGTTCGAAATCATCGCGCGCGTTGTATTGACGATCGTTGTCGCTCACACGACGTCGATCGTAATAGTACTCGTCGTCGTATTCGCGATCGCGATCGTGGTACGCGTTCTTCGTATCGTATTCATTCCGTCGACGATCGGGACTGGCCTCCCGTCGTCTCTCCCTGTTCTCGTCGCGACTGTTGCGAGAACCCTTGTCGTCCTCGTCCTCGTAGGAATCCCGACGATTTCCCGCGGAACCGGAAACACCCTGGTTTTCACTTTCCTGCGACGCACCCACCGCTTCTTCGCGTTTGCTTCGCGATTCGCCGCTGGTCTGGTCCTGAATCGTTGAGATCGGAGGGAGAATCTCCGGCGGAGAACCGGTTACCACTCTCCCGCCGGTCGTCATCCTGTTGTCGTCGGACAACTGGGTGACGTCGCTCGATGACGCTCCGCCTGGTATTTGTCTGAGTTCCGTATCCGTTTGCTGCGCGGTCTCTTCGGGTTCGTTGCCTCTGCCGAGCACCTCGCGAGTCTCGCTCGGTTCCAACATTATTATTTGAGACTGCAACTGATATCTCTCCTCGCCCGACGGATCGTTACGCGATTGCTGAGGCGGCAGTGAACGCTCCCTGCCCGAAGGATCGTTTCGTCGTTCCAGCGTTTCCGCATCGCCCCGCAACAACAAAGGAACGTTTCTCTCTTGTCCCGGAAGTACGTCGCGACGTTCAACTCTGTCGGATATATTTCTACCCTGCACGCTTTGTTCCTGACCCGAGGGATCGTTCCTCCTGGGATCGGACAGACGGGACTGTCCGGTCTGCACGTGATGTTCCTGACCCGTAGGATCGTTTCTACGTGGATCTATGGTGCTCGATTGCCCCGGTACTTCTCGCAGGAAGGGAATATCGTTAGGCACTTCGTCGTTCTCGTCGTCCTGGCTCGGCGTCGGCTCGTGTTCCTGATGCGAGTCGGTCAACTCGCCGGTCTCCAGAAACGTATTCCTGTCACTCGAAGCGAACTCGTAATTGTCCGGCATCTGTTCCGCCTGTAGGGACGCGTGAGGTCGTATTTGTTGTTGCACCGACAACACCTCGATGTTGTTTATCTCCTCCCGAAAGTCACGCGTGTTCGTCGTGTCTTTGGGACTCGTGCTCGGTTTGGGATCGTTGTCCAAAGTCTCCTTGTTTATGGAATCTCGCGATCCGTAAATGTCGCGTTCCTGTAACGAGATCTGATGATCGGGCGCGACCACTTCGACGTTCATAAAATCGGAAGTCAGTTGAATGTTTTCGTAATTCTCTACATTCTGTTTGGGAGAGCTCCATTGATTCGGGGCCGATGTGCGGGTGTGCTCTTTCGCATTTTCAATCACCGTGGTAGTGCGCGCGCTTTGATTGTACCATTGATCGTATCCGCTTTGCGAGACGCTGTCGGTAGCACCGACCTTGGTAGCACCGTTCTGATATGTATTCGATATCTGATGATTCTGACTGACAACAGGTTGACTGTCGACGACAGAGTGAGAGTTTTCTATGTTGCTAGCGTAATCTGGAGGCAATACCGGTATATTATCGGGAATAGAATTGCTTCGAATGTTTGTGACGTTGAAATTGGCAACCGAATGTTGAGCTCTCCCATCACCGGGACTCGGATATGCTTCCAACGATTCGCTCGAATGATTCGCATGCTTGCTCGACTTGTTTCCGAGATTAAGTTGACCAAAATTACTGGACAAGTCCTCGTTTACTGTGGAAACGAAAGGATAATCATCGTTTTCCGCGACAAGAACGTTCTTCAAAGCATCAATCTTTGATGTATCATCCGTCACCGTGTTCAGATTGTGGTCTCTAATTGTTGGTTTAACATCGCTCGGTTTTACATTAATCGAATCGTGAGACAACGCGGTACCCGTGGCAGAAGCGACTGTTGTTGCTTGCTTCTCACTTTCTTGTTGTTCTTTATTATTATCGCTTGTATGTACAATATTTTCTACGGTCGTAGGTACAGTAGTCGTGGGTACTGTAGCGTAATGAAACGACGCGTGCATTTGCTGTTGATCGACTTGCCACTCGTTAGCGGCAAATCTAGGACTGTTGTTGTCCTGTGATACGTTCTCTTTGGGCGCGTTGTTGTCTACTTGCTGCAACCACTGATTAGAATGTACTTCGGTCTGCACATTAGAGTGTCTCCAATCGTGTGTAACGTTGGCATTTCCCATCTGTGGCCAAGAACTAAATGTATCGTCTATATTACTCGTTTGTACTAGATGCGACGACATCATTGTCTCGCGATTTTGATTGTGCCACTGATTCGACGTTCTGTTACCAGCTTCGCTGATACCTGGCTGTCCGTTAGCAGACCAGTTTATGGAATGTTCCTTATTAATCCCCTTGACAGGCAAATTATACATCTGCGATGATTGCATACCTTGATTGCTCATATTATCGACGTGTTGTTGCATATCTTTCGGCACGTTCTGATCCTGGGTCAGCATGTCGGTATGATTCTGCCAGTTACGTTGCAACGGCAAGTTCGCCGCGTCGTCCTTGGTTCGATTAAAATTCTGCGACGTAACGGGCGGCGGATATAGCAACGGTTGATCTTTCTGATTTTGCTGTGGCACGAGTCTCTGCTGCGTATACGCTGCATTCTGGGTTTGCTGTTCACTCGACCATTGATTATGCTCGTAACCCGATTTAATGACGCTTTGTTGTGGCGGCAAAGGATACTGTTGATTTTGATTATAATTCGTGTAAGAAAATGGATCCGTGTAATTCGGACCGGTTTGACGAGGGGGTTCCGATCTAGGCGTGTTTCTTCCTGACACAGAGTTCTGATTAAGTACATCGGAGGTGTTGCCATTCTGGAGATTCTTATAATAATTGTCCTGTGCCGAATTAGATCTCAATTGTCCCTGATGCTGAGGAAAAGACACGTAATGCTGTTGCTGTTGCGACTGTTGTTGTGGCAACTGCTGCGGTTGCTGAATATCTGATTGTTGGTCAAGACTCCAATCCCATCTGGGATCTTTCCACGAATTATATTCCGATTGATTCATGAGGGGTGATTGCTGAGTGGCATCGTTTGACGGAACATCCGATTGAGGCCTCGGCATAGACATCCATGTATTTTGATTATGCATTCCATACGCAGCCGAATGATCCACCCGCGACCTGGCGGGTCTAGCTCGGTAAGGATTCTAAAATCGTCCATATTAATTAAATATATGTAAATAAAAAATTAAATACATTAATAAATTAATTAAATATATAAGTTATTTATCATTTTTTATACAAATATGATTTTTATACATATGTACTTACGTTCATACTGTCTGTAGAGCAATGTGAATGAATTTATAACAAATTTGTTATCTGTAAAGTAAAGAATAAAAATTTACATATGTAGAGAAATTTAAAGAAAATGAAAAATAGCAAACATAAAATATTTATCTGTTTTAATGTTGTTTTTATATTTTACATAAAATCAGTGTAATTATAATAATAATTAATTTTCTTTATTATATAAATAATATATATAATATAATATAATATAAATAATATACAAATTGTTGATACATTCAAAAAACTAACAATGATAACAAATAAGACTACATAGTAGATGTGAGAATTAAGAAATAATTTGTTTTTCACAGTGTCTATATAGATAACATATGTGACAAAATAATACTAGAATTTTATAGATAAGAGGAAAAAGAAGAGTGAGAAAAAAATCTGAAAACAGATAGCATATTTTCTCTATGTATTAATTTCTGGTAGTTAAAAAACGCTTTTAAAATTAGCAAATAATTGAAAATAACACATTTCTTATTTCTTGTTTTCGGAAAAATTTCTTGGTTGTAACACGTGTGTTATTTGAACCTAAATACAAGCAACATTCCCTTCGAGTAAATTTCAATTTCTGCTGCGCATTGTAACATAACAAACTATGAAAAAAAAAAAAAAAAGAAGCATTTTTATATAGACAGTCCATACTCTATAAATATTTACAAGAATTTTATCACCAAATAAAACGGAGTGTTATCGATACGAGTGTGTTTAATCAGTCGAATCCTTGAGTGTATTCACACTCTTTCAAGAAAACGCTTGTGTTGGCCGCGAAAGCCGATGAGGATCTATGGACTAACACACACACACACACGGATGTGAATTGCTTTTAAATGGGTCGCGACTCGTTACGATGCGAACAAATTTTCGCGTATTATCGACGCGTCGTAATTTTGCGAAGAACGAACATTTCGCACGAACGTGTAAACCGACGTCTTTGGTAAAAAAAAAAAAAAAAGGTAGTTCTCGTTCGAGATCTGGCACGCGTGCAGGCGCGACAAGGATCGTTCGGAAAATCTCCGACGTCGAGAGCGTCTTCTAAGGGCGCGATAAGGATTCGCTGCGTGCACGCGCACCTCCCCGGGACATAAAATAATAAATAAAAAATAATACGACCTCGAGACAGACGTCGAGAGAACGAGTTTTTTTTTTTTTTCTTTCCCCAATCGCCGCGACACTGGCGCGGGGGAAAAAAGATGGAAAACCCGCGCGCGGCCCGCGGATCGGACGGCTACGTACCAGCTGTGAAAGTCGGGGAACGATGACACGGCGTTTGAAGCAGCACTCGAATTTTCGTACCACGTTCGCACTCACCTAAAGCTATCGTCGCTCGCACTGCCGTCTGCACGCGCTTGGTATGCGCATTATTGTCTCCTGCACCAGCTGAATTCTCTCGTACGGGACGGCAGAGCGAACGTCGTCGTCGTCGTCGTCGTCGTCGTCGTCGATGATAGTGCACGATCTTTTACGAGTACGCGGACATTTCAATGGACGCCGTGCGCGAGAGCGAGACAAGTATACAGATGCGGTCAACGGTGAGACGGAGAAGGGAACAAACGAGTTAAGCACGTCACGAATTTTTCATCCGCGCTCACTTTCCACGCGAGCGGAACGGGGTCCGTACACCTACACACGTAACCCATAAAGAACCTCACACGTCAGAGTTAAAAACCGAATTTATCAAAATGACCGCGAGATGGCGCGCGCGCGTCCCCCGACATTTAAATCGGTCCAAAGTTCCGCGATCTGTTCAAATATTCAGTTGTTTTTTTTGATCAAATCCGTTACGTAACGGCAAGTTTGTTTGTTTTGCGAGAGCAAATTGAAAGCCGCAAACTTCCGAACTTTGCCGAAAAATAAGTTAAAAATTGCACTCGGCTTTACTGAGATATATTCACCAGATACGAACCATTTCTGGTTTTGTTGCGCGACTGTAATACGGTAATAGAAACCCGGTTTAAATCTCTGCTGAACGTCTAATATTTCACAGATGACCGGCCCAGTGGTCTCGCGGCCTGAGTGCAGGGGCTGCGAACCCCCGGAGGTCCCGAGTTCGAATCCGCTCACCACCTAAGGATTTTTTCCGGGCCGGTCCCCTTCAACCGAGGTTTTCGTTTGATCGGCGAACTAAATCGGGTCTCCAAAAATTAATTCGGATGTAATTCCGAATTTATTTCCCTCCCACAAGGCGATCACAAGTCACAACAACTTGAGCACGAGCCCGACACAGATAGAGGTACGCCTACTGTGAAAGACGGCCGTGTATCGCGTGGTAGTAGGAACAAAAAGAACTGCACAAATTGACTTCGAAAAAAAGAAAAATTACTTGATCTTCGACATAAATGTGTCTAATAGCCTAATAGAGCTACACAGGCACGTTAAATACCCAATAAAAAAAAAAAAAAAAAAATTAGTAATTACATTTATTTTGAATAACAATTGCATTATAATATACAAAGTAATAGAAAAAAAAAAAAAAAAAAAAAATATTTCACAGATATTACAAATAGTTTCTGAAGTTAAATTTATATATATAAAAAATGTTTGTTTTTTTTTTATCTCCGATATACGAAAGAAAACTTTTCCTAAAAATTGAAACAATCTTTTCTTGTTCTATTTATTTTCAATTTGTTATTACATTCTTTTCTAAAGATATATTTATAGCGTAAGAAAAATAAATAGTTGGCAAATGAATTCGTAATGCTCTTTAAAGATTAAAAAAAAAATTCAGAAAATAAATAAATTTCTAGTTTATAAATACCAAAAACAACAATACCGAACTGTAACATTTTTTTTTTTTGTCTTGCAACTCGTCTTTTAAAAATGCCCAAACGCGTCCGCTCTTTCCTCCAACGAGATGAGAAACAGGACGGAATTACAGGTTCGAATCTTTTATACACTACATGTTCTATCGTATATTCTAATCGTAAGATTATATATTTAAAATATGTAAAAATGAGAAAAAAAAAAAGAAAAATAATATGTATAAGTTTTATACATATCATGTATATTTATACATATATATATATATATATATATATGTGTGTATACCCAATTGTATAACTTTCGGCACGACGACAGAGCGACGCTCACTATCTTCTTTGTGAACATTTGCCCCCGCGAGACGATTATGTATTTGTACATTTCTAACAATTATATATATGTACATAAATTGTTGGAAATATACAAATTATATATATATTAGTTTCCAATGATTAACATTAGTTTCATTAAATTTGTACAAAACATTATTTTCTTGGTTTTGATTTTAAATAAACATGTCACTTTTGTTGTTGTAAAAGTTTTGAAATACTCCAAAAAAAAAAAATTTACAAATTTCTATCTCAAATCAAGACTCGATAGAAATTATTGCATAATAATTTCTTTCTTCATTTTACATTTGTTGTTGATTTAATTGGTTGTTTTCTTAGTGCTTCCTTCGTTTGTCACGATCGTCCCTACGTTGTTCGCGCTCGTCTTTACGTTTCGTCGTTGTCGTGGCTGAACTACTGGCGCGTTTAGCTTGTTTCAAGAACTGATCCAGACCGAAGGGATCTTCTTCGTCTTTTTCAAACTGTACCGGTCCTGATCGAGTAGCCGATCGGTCGGTTCCACTGAATTCTTTGTCGGGAACGAATCTGGCAACGAGACACGCAAACGTGAAAGTTCTAAATGCATAAATACGCAACACAATGAAAAAATATCAAGACTTCTAACCTATTTGTCTTGATCAATTTTTCCAAGTCCTCTCCGTAAGAGTCCTTGTCGATATTTTTGCTAGGACGATATATGTGCGAAGCGATAGAATTGCTATCTTTCCACGGTTTGTCATAAATATTATATTCCTCGTCATTTCCGTAACCACTGTCCATTCCTTTGCTGGTGTTGAAGAGACGCTGATCAAACTGCGCTTCTCCCGAGTTAGGAATGCTTTTTGCGGGCAAACCAAGAGCGATTTGTTCGCTAATATCACGCTCGCGTTCACGTTGCAAACGCGAACGCTTGTCAGGAGCAGCACGAGCCAAATTACGTTCGCGAGCACGATCCTTGTGACGCTCTTGTCTGATCTGGTCCCTCTCGCGTGTTTCCTCAGCCTTATCTGATGCCGCGGCGGATTTCAAACCGGCACGCTCTTCTCGGGCCTTCTGCGCGAGTTGTCTCAAGTGATCCTCTTTCTTCTCTTTTTCTTTAGCCGCTAGTTTCTTTTCAAGCTGCGCGCGCATCTCGACGGCTTCGCGAGCTTTTCTGTCAGCAATATAAAGAGCCTCAGCTAGTTTGGCGAAGTTTTCGTTTATATGGACCTGCTGCAGACCCCGACCGTCTGCGGCTAGACGTTTGTCCAGCGGAATTGTGTAACCCTGAAATCAAAATCGTTTAATCATCGAAAGAAACAACAAAAACGTGCATAGTTTTCCTGGTAAAAAGTTTAAGATGGGGGTCTTTTCATTGCGTATCAAGATACAATATTTATATAACATATAAAATGTTCTCAAGTTTTGCAAGTCACCTTTGCATTTTTCCAATTACTTATACACGGTGGAATTTTCCATTCCTTTTGCTCCTTCACCGTAACTTTTCTAGTTGGTGAATGCATAACAGGCGCTGGCGGAGACGGAGGTCCACGTGGAATCTTTTTATTAATTCTGCGAAAATCTTTGCATTAACATCTCAGATAATTGTGCATGTTCTTTATTGTAGTCTCGCATAGTGATCTTTCTGCATATACTTAAACTTTGGTGGTTCCAAAGGATCCACTTGCGCTTCCACCATTCTGATAACTCTTTGCTTTGCGCCCGAATTGAACGATTGTCCTTGCTGCGACGGTGTGTAACGTATATACTGTGCCGGAGCTTGCTTCTCGGCACATCTCACTGGCATGGCAGCTGCAATCTTTGACCGTGTTATTTTCTCTAATGCTTTTTTCGTCTTATCAGTGAGCTCGTCAATTTCTTCATCAAGCGGACGTTGCAACGAGGGATCGTCTTCATTTGTAATTTCTGATGGTAACAAATCGCTCAGCTTGCTGTATACAATCTGTGATAAAAATTTTAAATTATAAGCAAAAAGACTAACACACGGTAGTGTGAAATTACGGGATATCTCATGTAAGCGCTCTAGAATTAAAGTTTCACGTATAGAAAAGTTAATATTTTTACCTTATCTTTACCATGACCTTGTCTAGCTATAAGATCATATTTTACTTTTCCCTGAGCATCAAGTTGTACTGCTAAGGCATTGCTTGTACTTTCCTTGCCTTTCATTCCCATGCCCAGTGGATACTGTGCAACATGGATCTCCGGAAAAGCACCTCCATCTCCAAAATCCTGAATGTAACGTAAATGCACATTGTAAACTTACAAATGTTATATCATTTGACAATCGACAATTTCATAAAATACACATAAAATTATGTTAATTGTTTGTTTTGTCTATACAGGGCCAGTTACTTACTTCTGGGTTGCGTGGCACCCATCCTCGCCGTTGTCCATAAGGTGGAGCGGTTACAACAGCTTTTACCAAAGCTGAAACTGGCCTTTGTCGTAATTTCTGTTCACGTGCCTCATCTTCTCTATCCCACACCACTTGAGTAGGAGCAGGCAACAAACTATAAAATCACAAATAAAATTGCTAAATAAGCGCGTTTAGGTTAGGAAGTAACTTTATGACAACGATCTTTAGATATATTTGAACATTTCAATGATACTAAAAATAACAGACATTAATAAAATATGTTAATAAAGTGATTCTACACTCTTATGTGTAAAAGTAATAATTTCCTATACAAAAATAATAACTTTCTTACTTTGTTAAAGACATTTCTGATTGCACACATACGATGGTTGGGCCCAATGTAGACAGTAGCGCAATTTTCCTCCCCGCTACCGATTTTGTGAAGCCAACGCGCATGCGCGAAGTTGGCTAGTTTAAGGTCGATCTACATTTTGATGCAGACGCAGTTGAAAGTCTCACACAATTGGCTTCTCTCTGATAATATATTTCTAGATAAAGAAGACGTTGATTGGCTTACGCGAAAAGTTGTCGTGTATAAAGTTCTGTGTGCAGTAGCCAATAAGCCAGTGACAAGCGACTGACGTGTAGGTCTGTATCTTATTGCGTACATCATGATGTGCAATTAGTGTCGAGAACGGACACGCGGCAACACCGGCAGCCACATCGACATCTGTGTGGCAGTTGCAATTGGCGATCAGTTTTGCGTAAATGAGTAGTGGATGTAGTGAGTCGGCGTGGAGAAGTTTTTGTAAAAACTTTCTTTCTTGTCATTACAGAAAAAAGGGGATAAAATTTTGATACAATGGTTTTGTTTACAATAATTGCTAGATTGTCAGATGGTCTGCCGTTGGCGGCCACTATGCAGGATAATGAGCAGGTTAGAAATGTGTTATGATGAAATGTCATCTAGACCTCATCTTATTGGACCTATACTTTGGTTTTTGCTATTAAGTTTCATTACAGAAGCTAATTAGTTGCATAAAGTTTATGGGAATTTGGCTTTATTTGTGGCGATGGTTTTATATTTATTTATAAAAAATTATATATATATATATATGTAAAATCTGCCATACTTTACTTTTTTAATTACTTGTTACACACTTATAAGATATATGTATATAAAATGTTTACTTTCTTGCAGGATGGTAGAAACATTGTAGAATATCAGAATCAAGCAAAGATGCTCTTTAGAAAACTAGGTCCACAGTCCCCACCAAGATGTACTCTTGAAACTGGGCCATATCTTTTTCAGTAAGTGAACAAGATTTGTATATATATATATGTATCACTGGTTTTGATGATCTGATCTTTATATATTTCATTTATTTGTAGTTATTTAATTGAAAATGAAGTGTGTTGTCTGGTCTTATGTGAAAGAAATTATAGTACACGTATAGCGTACAATTATTTAGAAGATATAGCACAGGAATTTCATTCCCAATATGGCAAACGTGTAAATACAGTAACCAGGCCTTACAGTTTTATTGAATTTGGTATGATACAAATGATAATATAATCCGTTATCACAAGTGTTATGTGTCTAATTTATTTGTTTGTTTCTTTAGACACATATATTCAAAAGGCCAAGAAAACATACTCAGATAGTAGGTCTCGTAGAAATTTGAACGCTTTAAATAGTCAGTTACAAGATGTGCAAAGGATTATGGTACAGAATATTGATAATGTTTTACAAAGGGGTACTGTACTCTCAGGTAAGACTCTACATATATATAGGTTATTTATAGAAGATTATAAACATTTGTATGTACACACACACACACACACACACACATACGTATACACATGCATATTTATGTTGATAATTTATGTTTCACAGAGTTGGACACAAAAACACAAAATCTGTCTATGTTATCACAGAAATATAAAAAAGATGCAAGACATTTGAACAGCAAATCGATGTATATAAAAGCTGTTGCCATTCTTGTTGTAATTTTGGTCCTCCTGTTATATTTCTTTATTTAGTTAAATTATACCACACAGAGAAAAATTCATTAATATTAAAGATATTCCATTTGTGCAAGGACAGACTAAATTTCGTCAACATCATAATATAAGTTATAATTTTAATCTCCATTTAAATTTATAAAAAGAGAAAATCTAAAGGAAAGTAAAATTTACACACACAAAATTAGCAGAAACAAGCACATTGATTGTACTTGCATCAAAGAGTCTACAAAACTTTATAAAAGTACAATTTATGTAATCACAAAATTGAAATCCGATGTTGTTAAATTGTTTTGCAACATCCAAATGATAAAAAAAGTCAAATGTTTTCTATTATGATGTTAAAAAAATTTACAGTTTTTTTTATCTTATTACATTTATGCTTTTATACTGTTTTAATATTCTAAATGCAATGTGCGATTGTTTTTAATAATATATTGTGGCAGATATTATGAGTGTGTAATACATTTATTTTCCTACTTTGATAGGATGATATATTGTATTATATCTACATTATATTATTGACTTTGATATCCAAATGAGAGATAAAGATGTTACGCATTTTTATCATTTAAGATTAATATAAAGTATTTTACTCATTCCCTCTCCTCTCTCTTTCCTCTCTCCTACAATTTCTTACACATTTGTATAGTTTTAGGTCCCCCTATAAAATCTTGTATGTAAAACCTCGGTATACATATATATATATATATATATACATATATAAGAAAATATATTTATTATCAATTTGTGTGTTAATTATATTTTTGGGTGTTTTTTGCGGGTATCTGTATTAAGGAAAAAAAGGAATAAAAAAACGTGATGTCACGAATGCATTTACAAATATCCACATTGTAGCAGTAGCAATATACGTGCATATAAGCTAAGTCTAAAGGTAAAATAAAAACAGCTATTTTTTCGGAGTCAAACACAAATAGAGAAAAAAACTTTGTTTTTTTGTAGATAAATATGTATATATTTCAAATTTAATTTTGTATCTTAATGATTGTAAAGTGAAAAATCAATATTAGATATTTACAATTATATTTCTATACATTACAAAAGTATATTTCTATGGTACAAAAAATTTTATACAATTTACATTTTGACTAGTTCATCATAACTCGGTATATTAAGTTCCGACGACGATGGTGTTTCCTTTTTAATAGTGGGTTTCTCATCATCAGATTCCGAAAGATCGTTAAAGAAATAATTTATTGATTTAGTTTCTTTCTTATTATTTCGGATATTTTCTTTTCTTTTTGTTTCAATATTTGCTTTGAAATCTTTGCACTCTGTATCGCAGATTTCTTCATCTAAAATATGATAAGAGAGTATGTATATTTATAATAAAACGAACACTATACCCCATGTTGTAACAATAATGCGAAACTTACCGCTGTCTATGATCTCGTACATATTCACATGATCTTTCATAATAACGTGCAATGTTGGAAATTCCACTATAATCTTGTCTTCTAGATTTTCCCTCAATGTGAGTTCAAGATCTAATTCATAAAACCTAAGTGAGCAATTAAATTAGCAAGAGTATATAGTTCCGTATATGTTGATTTCAAAATTAAATAATAATAATAAGGCAATTTGCTTACTTAAGCTTAGCATTTTTAACTTTTTCAGCTTTTAAGAGAACCTTGATAACACTCAATCCGGCTGCTCTATAAAATTGTAATTTCTCAGCTAATTTTAATTTTAAATCTAGTTCCTCTATGTCAGTATCTTCTGAAGAGATTGGGTTTAGAATCTGTTCTAAAATTGTTACCAATCTTGTGGTGTCTAGTGCTCTGTAATAATCAGTACAGAATTGTATACATGTAGCATTATTAAAAACAACAACCAACACGATTTAAAAATCCATTACGTTCTCATACATACTTTTCGGTAATGCATTTTATATTTTCCGCTTGTGGAAATATCCACTCCAATCGCCAGAACAATTCATTTGTTTTCCAATTGAGATACGTAGTATTTTCTCTATGCCTAGTGAACATGTATGGCATAAATAATAGTAATACTTTTCTCTGAGCTGCACCTTTCTTCAGTTTATATAAGTGCTAGAGAAAGAACATTTACAAAACTACGTTGCATTTTCATACGCTTAATATATATGTGGCGCGGTTTATGTATAAAAAAAAAAAAAAATACTTTACCACTGGAACAAGTTTGTCTCTTATCTTCATATCTGCATATGTTTTTTTCTTATTAAGTAATCTATTGACCTCTTCGAGAAAACGATAATCTAGACGAGATAGACCGCAAGTAGACATTAAAAAAATCACAACAAAATAAATATTATTTAATTTAACCTCACTGAAGAATTATTGTTGATTCGCAACCTAATTTATGTATATTTTATTTACAAATAAGAAATTATATCTCACCATTTAGTAAATCCAAATCGGTAAATTCGTTCAAAGGAACGTATTTGACTTTATTTCGGATTCCATTACATTCTAATTCTTTTTTGTGAATATCGACGCACGTGAGAGAGCACGTTTTAACCTCACATTTTGGACAAGTATACTTGGCTTCCGCACCGCACACTTCGCAAAATTTCAATCTGCGAACAAATACGCGTGAACATTCTTGCTTTCCGTGGAAGGTTTAATTGATTATCAACAAATGTTGATCAGAAATGTATACATCACGTGTATCTACTTACTTAAACGTTCCTTTGACTTCTGCCATCTCGCTATTATATTCTGTTGCCTCGTCCATGTGGTCCATGTGCTTATATATCAGACAGACACTTTATTCTCTCGTTAATTCTTGTAATTAACTTAATTGTACTTAATTAACTTAATTGTAATTATAATTCTTTTGTATATACAACTACACAGTACAACAGATTTTGCTTCCAACAGAGCTCAGTAGTACGTTGATACATTCGAGTTTATGCGCTTGGTAAAAGTGCGTCTCACACGAGTTTCACTTTGCCGGTAAATACGGAAAATTTATAATGCACGTAACGTGAACTATAGATTTTCAGCACCGAGCAATGAATTTTTCAACACAGCCTCTTGACACTCATCAAAATATATATATTTATTGACTTATTTGCTCAACTATGGCAGATTTTTAAGTAATACAACACGTACAAATAACTCAAAACGAGAGAAAAATTATTTTTTATAACGAATACAGTAAGATTATTAAATTTTATATCATTTATACATAGATATATTCGTCGAAAAAATAACTTTTTTATTTATCTCTCTCTTCTCTCTTTTTCCATGATCTTAATATAGATTAATATATATNTTAATATATATAGATATATAACGATTTGTATAATCTTTTTCTTTTTTACTGTAAAAAAATATATATCAATTACCATTTGTCTTGTAAGTATGCAAGCAATGTGGTACATATATTTATAATTTACATTTGATTTCTATGTAAAAGTTTATTATAATTACACTACAATATATATATATTAAGAATAAAATCGGATAACAAAGATACACACACACACATTCGCAAACACGCGCATACACTCTATTCGCAATCAAACGTATCGTTTAACACGATTATTGACTCCCGTACATATTTTTTTCGCGTGAAGTTAAAGGAAAAAAATAATTAATTAGTTTACAACACTAACATAATATATATGATACATCGATTTGATGTATGTAACGATTTCATAGTTTCATCATATTGGTAACGATCACGAGACTTCTAAAATTATCATCTTTTAGATCCTCATCTCGCTTATCTCGTATCGCAAATTAAATCACATGCAAGTACGGGAGAAACTAATTTATTGCGACAACGCTTTACACTGCTTGCAATTTTCCATACGTTCGTTGAATTCTTCTATCTGCAACGTCATCTCGAAAAATTTGTACTTATCGTGTATATTTCTTGTAGCGGTGCGTAGTATGTTCTGCGGGCTCGTCCCGGGTTCTGCAAATGATAATCGATTACTTGATCGATAATTGACACCGATAATTAAGAATATTTTTAATTATATATTTTTTGTGTTTTCACATAACAGTTTTTTTTTTTTTTTTTTTTTTTTTTTCACAGAATTTTCAAATCGATTACAGTTATTTCAAGTTCGAACGGTAATTCAGTTGCATAATATATCGAAATGTATAAATAAGTAGCAATATATAAATATAGGCTCTTGTGGGTCATATTTTTAGATGAGCTTACTTATAGCTAGATGCGCCGACAAAGCAGTTTTGTCGAGCGAAAGCGCCCAGATTCTCAAGTTGTGCACCTTCACAACTCCATCTATTTGCATAAACGTATTTTCTACTTGAGAGTATTCGAAACCCTTGGGTATACCTTCCATCAGAACGTTAACCACGTCTTTAATAATCGCCACCGTAGTCAAAATAACTAGTATAGAGAAGAGGAACGTGCATATTGGATCCACTAAGTTCCAACTCGGCTGAAATGCAGATAATGTATTAATAAAAACGCGTTTTAAAACTTTTCAAACACGTCTATTATGTTTTAAGTAATGAATTACGCACAACAGAACAGAATAATTTTTTTCTCTCTAAATATATATATATATATATATATATATATATATATATTTTATTATATATATTTCGCGTTATATATATATATATATATATAACGAAACAATGTGTGAAGTAGAACGAATTTAAAAAAGAGAGATACCTTAAAGTAAATGACCAACGCGGCGATAAAGACTCCTAGACTTTGTATCAGGTCACCCACAACGTGAATGAAAGCAGCGCGCACGTTGATATTTCTCTTATTGTGATGCTCCCCTTTGGCATCATCATCGAGCGAATTTTCCACGTCATTGTTTTCACCGTGGTCGTGAACATGTCCGCCGTGGCTGTGACCATGTTGGTGCAAGGACAAACCCATTCTGCAATGTCAAATTTGTTCGTTGCTATTTCTCAAAAAACAAAAGAAAAATCTATCTATATTTTGAAGCTATTAAAACTCGATATATACATTTAAATTTTATACACGCAGATATATTTATCCGTTGTGTGTTTTCAAGCGAATATTTTGTAAACTCAAGACGCTTAATTAAGCGCCTATAAATCATGTGTCTCTGATTAAAAACATTTATTAAAGCCACACGACTCGGACCGATATCATCATCTGCGATTGCTCAATAAGAGAATCCAATTGACATTCGATATATATATACATATATATACGTGTTATGCACATCATATTCTCTCGATTGTGATCGGAACATTGCGGACAAACGTGCGTTGGCACGGTATTACGCGAGTTAATATTATTATGCGTGAATTGTTTCGAGCGGAGCCGCGCAGAGAGTATTAAATAAATATTATCGTTAATGGTATCACTAACACTAGATTTACCGCAACACCAACTGCAGACGTGATAAGCATCACCGTGGCATCCAGCACAAAATCCTTGTGAACGATTCTTTCGATCGCGAGATAGAATAGGATGCCGGTGACCACCCAAATTAATAAAACAGATGTTAACGCTCCGATAACCTAAAATAACGTGTAATTTTTTTTTTATCGCATATTATCAGTTTTGCAATAATAAAATATCTAATATATTTTATTACTTGAGATAATAGCATGTATCACATTGTTGCAAAGTGCGTTGCTGATTTTTTGTGTCTGAATTAATTTTAATTTTGTTATTAATGCTTTTTGTTTTTTAATCAACTTTTACGGCGTTAATTAATATTTTCATGTATATTGAAGTAACACGTACCTCCGCGCGATACCAACCAAACGGCATCTTTCTCGTTGCCGGTCTACCCGCAACCCAGATGGAGAAGAGCGAAATCATGAACGACGCGAAATCGGTTAACAAATGCGCCGCATCGGTTGCAATCGCCAAGCTGTTCGATAACACGCCACCTGAAAGAAGAAACAAAATAAATAAAGAGAAACTTGGATGCTTGTTTCATGTTCGTTTTCGTGCAAATAAAAAACGTCCATGAGGTTTACTTTTTTTGTCGCACTGATAAAGAGACATAAATAATAATTTGTTTTTTATTACCGACAATTTCTGCTATCATGAAAACGACACAGAGAGCACTGGCGATTAGCAATTTTTTTCGGGCTTTCTTGTCGATTTCCTCGTTTCTCTCTCTGTGACAGTGATCTTCCTGCAGCACTAAAAATAAAAACACAATGTAGCGAGTTTACGTATTTGAAAAATACGCAATTATTCGAACAATTGTAGAAACTGTTCTTATTTCGCTGCGACCGTGACTGAAATAATTTCTTTTGTTTTCTCTTTATTTTTAATCAAACGCGTCCAACAAGAGAATATATTATATTGTTGAGAATAAGAATAAGCTACATAAAAATTGTTTGTTTTCGCTGAGTTTCAAACGGTGACATATATGTGCGATTAATTAAATTCTAGCGCGACATTCGGTCGCGAATTCGATACTCTTCGCGCCTCGATATCGCATGTTGTGTCTTTTCGATGTTTGTTATGACGATTCTTTTTATGCTCATTACTTTTCTACGAAATTTAACACTTGTATTAGTAATTATATCGCATTGTAACGATATTGATTTCTTTTTTTATAAGAATTTATTTTAGGTTTTTATCTTTTCCTATATATATATATATATATATATATATATATATA